CTGGATGATCTTCTTGATCCCTCGAGCCAGGAGGGATCTCGGCAAGCACAGCCCGCTGGGGTTCACCTTTTCAAAGGCATTTAGGGTATGGTAGGGTATTTCGGGTATCTAGGGTTCACCATGTAGGGTGTTGAGGGTTTAGGGTTTAGGGTGTGTGAAGGACCCTTATAACGTTCACCTTTGAGGGTGCTTCATGGTGTCTAGCATTTAGGGTGCTTCGACTTTCCCAACTAGCCCAACGCTTTTAGGGTGTTTAGGGTTTATAGGGCTTCAACTTTGGCCTTCAGAGAGGGGAGCGTGCAAGGAGGTTGAGGGTCTCGGGTTTCGGGTTTAGGGTTTTAGGGGGGGGCATCCAGCTGCCACCATGGACACGCCTGACGGCCACGAAACCACTTGTCCACAATGCCGGCACAAGCCAAGGACTTTCACAGCTGGCTACCCTCCATGACCCGGAACCCTCACGGCCCCTCCCAACCACACCGCCAAGTCCCTAAACCCTGAACCCCCATCCACTCTGCCCAACCCCCCCCCCCCCCCCAACACAAAAGACAAAAAAAAATATACTCCGGAGCCCCCAGACCATTCTGCCCAAGCTCACATTCTAGCTGGTCTAGAAGAAGTGGGGTGGCTCTGGGCGGGGTCCTACAAAAAAACGAACGTGTATGGTTTACCATAGGGTAAATTGCAGAGGAAGGCCAATAGACATTTATAATGGTTTCCAAGTCAGGTTTTCGCGCCTATGGCTTCGGGTTTAGGATTCGGGTTTAGGGTTTAGGGGACCTTCTTGTATTGAACTAAGGGTGTGCTTTATTCTCAAGCAGCTTGCAAAAAAGGATTCAGGGCTTAAGGCTACCCTTTTTTGAGGAGGGACTGCTTACACCCCTGGACCCGGAATTTAGGGTTTACGGAGTCGCTCCAAACCAGGGTCCCCTTAACGAGGTACCTTGCATTATCGGGGCCCTTCCAGGGGAAGGCTCTCTCCGAAAGCGGACCTAAACCCTAAACCCTAAACCCTAAACCCTAAACCCTCAACTCCGTAGGCCTTCGGAAACCTCAAAGGCCAAGAGCTTGCGGTTAGGGTGGTCTAGGGTTTAGGGTTTAGGGTCTAGGGTTTAGGGTTTAGGGTTTTTGGGAGGGAGGGAGGTTCAGCGAGCTCTGGAGCCCCCCTGATACTAACAGTCCTGGATCGGGATTGTCGCACCCCCCTATGAGAATCCCTATTAAGGACTCTTAACTCTTAAGGACTGTTAGAAAAAAGGGCAACGTCACAATCCCAAGCTCCAATCTTCACATATTTAGGGTTTAGGGTTTAGGGCATGTCATTCCCGAATTCTCCCACGAAAAGCAGTGCATGAAAGACCGTGAAGGCCCAACGCCCCAACTCGCACGCAAGCCTAGCACATCTGGGTTCCGGATTTCGCGGGTTTAGGGTTTAGGGTTTCGGGTTTAGGTTCGGACTTAATCCCAATCTGTCGCCTACATTCCCTTAGAAGATCTGTAGGGCTACAGCCTCCAGTGTTCCACCCTAGACCCTACTTGAAGGTTCATGGTACTTACTAGCCAATTATAACTGTACTTATAACCCTACTGATAATACCCCTAAAGTGCCTTATATGGGTTATCCCAATCATAAGTAGGGTTATAAGGACAGTTATAAGTGGTTATTAAGTCCCATGAACCTCCAAGTAAACCCTAAGCCCATCGGCTTTTGCACCACGCCACGGAGCGACAATGGTGCAGACTCGAGCTCCAGCCGTAGGACAGTTTTCAGTTTAAGGGTTTAGGGTTTAGGGCTTAGGGTTTAGGGTTTAGGGTTCCGAGTTAAGGGCTTATGTAGTGCTTAAGAAGGAAAATTCAAAACAAAGAACTTCCGGTGCCATTTTCTAGGTAGTTCTAGGAATCTTCGCAGGGGAGGGAAAGGGTCATGTTCGCTTCCCGAGGTTGGTCCGGTTTAGGGTTTAGGGGTTTAGGGTTTAGGGTTTAAGGTTTAGGGTTTAGGGTTTAGGGTTTAGGGTTTAGTAGGGTTTAGTAGGGTTTAGTAGGGTTTAGGGTTTAGGGTTTCTTGGGGCTTCTTTTGCCACCCGACGGGCAGACCCGCCACGCTGTGTAGAGCGTGGGGGTTTGGGCTTTAGGGTTGTTGCGCCCGACCATACGACAACACGATCGTAGGGCTATAGGGCTTACTGAGGGATATAGGCTTCGGGGCCTTTTAGGGCTTTGTTTCTGAAGGGTTTAAGGTTGAGGGTCTGGGTTTAGGGTAGGGTATAGGCTTTAGGCTTTAGGCATAAGGCTTAGGCTTGAGGGTGTAGTGTTTAGGGTTTGGGGCCGGTAGGGCTCTGAGGTGTTGTGAGTTCATCCCAAACACTTCTAAGCCATCGTGGGCGTTGGGTCCTGAGGACTAGACTGCTGGAACCTCAGCCTCGAAACCCTAAACCCTTACTTGGAAGCACTTTTGACTTTGGTAAGTAGGGTAAGTAAGTAGTTGGGCTGCGGGGGATTTCACTGGTTTTTAGGGGATACTAAGTATACTTGCGAAGTCAAAGGGCTGCCAAGTCTAAACCCTAAACCCTAGACCCTAGACCCTAAACCACATCCAGAACTTGGCCGAGGTTGCCTCGAGTCTGCTCGACACCAGTCCAGCACGACAAAGCCAGGGAGCGCAACAACCCTTTCAAGGGACTGGGGTTTAGGGTTTAGGGTTTAGGGTTTAGGTTTAGGGTTTAGGGTTTAGGGGACTAAAGTCGGGACCCTTGCAAGGGACCCGAATGTAGGGGCTACTTAGGCATATAGGGACTATGTAAGGTATATTGTGGTTAAAATTAAGGTTATAATATAGAAAAACTAATCCTAAACCCTAAACTTTGAAGGAAACCCTAAACCCTAAAAGAGTAAGATTAAGGGCTCTTCTATGGGTCCTGCCCTTATATCCCTTCACCTTGATGCGGAAGCACTAGAACAGTTGTAGAGTTTAGGGTTAGGGAATCTAAACTCTAAGCCCGAAACCTTCGACCCTATCTAGGCCCTCATCACGAATTCCAGGTAAGGGCTGTTGGCTCTTCGGCGCAGACAGCGTAGGTGTGCATCAGTCGTCGGTCACCCTTCTGGCAAGAACTGCTGGAAATAATAGGGTTTAGGGTTTAGGGTTTAGGGTTTAGGGTTTAGGGTTTAGGGCTCAGGGTTTAGGGTCTAGTTTCGACGCTTCGCGACATGTGCGTGCTATTTGCGCAGGGGTCCAAGCTAATCTTGCGGCTCTAAGGTGGGAACCCCCACAATCCTCAGTGCGAGGGCTGATTGCGGCGGCATTCAGGGTTTAGGGTTTAGGGTTTAGGGCATGATGATTGCCTGAGGTTTTTGGGGGTGTCGCTTTTCTTTCAGAGGATGCTTTTCGGTGCACAGCTTGCCCTGGGGCAGTTTGCTTGGGGTGGTGGGGGCTCAGGTGGTGATTTCCCTACATGATGGTCCTTGTTGGGGTCCCTTACCTCAAGGCGGCCCCTCTTTCTTAGGGTAAAAAATGGATCCGAATCTTGAGACCTGACCAGGTACGAGGCAGCGCGTGTTCGCTGCCTCAACTCCTCGCACACACCCCTGCCTCTCATGTGCAAGACATCTGTGCATCTGTTCCCAGTGGCTCATGCACGCCGGCCAAACCCCATGCACCGCATGAAGGTTGACAGCACCCCCTGCGCAGCGTCATACGTCCGACCCCCTAAACCCTAAACCCTAAACCCTAAACCCTAAACCCTAAACCCTAAACCCTAAACCCTAAACCCTAACCCTACACCAGCTGCTCAAGCCTAGATTACCCCCCTATCCCCTCGAGTTCTGCAGATATGCGGTCATGGAGGGGGGACTATATACAGGTGATTCCTCCGCTGTGTTTTACAGCTTGTGAAACAGGCCACTGCGCGCCTGGGTAGGGTTTAGGGTTTTTAGGGTTTTTAGGGTTTAGGGTTTAGGGTTTAGGGTTTAGGGTTTAGGGTTCAGGGTTCAGGGTTCAGGGTTTAGGGTACTGCGCGCGCCTGGGCATGCTGAACCCTGGCGTTCTAGATGAAGTTTGCTAGCTGGGCAGAGGCAGCATCGAGGATGGCTGTTGCAAAGGGTTTGGGGTTTAGGGTTTAGGGTTTAGGGTTTAGGAAGGCGACTCCCATACCCCTGAATCAAGGAATATTCCTCAACCCTAAACCCTAAACCTTAAACCCTAAACCCAGTAGGGTTCCTTATGTGGTTTAGGGAACATTCCTGAATTAAGGAGTACTCAAAGTCTCTCTCTGGGTATAGCCACGATGCCCCGATGCCCAAACCCCCGTGTCTTTTCAGAGAACTCCGCTGCTTGGCAGGTCACGTCCACAACTTTTCGTCCGTCCCCCATGCCCTGCCAGGAGCAGGCAGCCTAATAGGGTTTCGGGCCTAGGTTTAGGGGTTTAGGGGTTATAGGGGTTTTAGGGGTTATAGGGGTTATAGGGGTTATAGGGATTATAGGGGTTATAGGGGTTATAGGGTTTAGGGTTTAGGGGTTTAGGGGTTTTAGGGGTTTCGGGTTAGGGTTCGGGCTTCCTAGAGACCCCAATACCATGTCTTGGTTGCCCTGCAACCTAGAAGGGTTTACAGGCGATGAACAAAGGAACGGCCGTCAACAACAGGGAAGAACGGTACAAGTATTGCTGGACATCCCAGAACCCTAATGAACGAACTTGAAGAACAATTCGAGGCTGACGCAACAAAGTAGCTCAATTTTCGTGACTGGCGTGGTGACTATTGATGCCCCAACCCCTCAAACCCCCCCCCTCCCTAACTCCCCACACCCTTAACAGGTCTTTATGCGGCTGCTGTACACCGCCGCCCCCACCAATGTCGCCTGTGACCGGCCCACGCACCAGCAAAAATTCTGAACCCTATGCCCTAAACCCAAGACCCGAAACCCGACACCCTCAACCCGAAACCCTAAACCCCAAACACTCTAAGCGAACCCAAGCAAAAACTTCCCACCTCGGGCCTGGGACTCAGGCCAAGCGGGGCATGGCACCCCGCGAGGAGGACCTGCGCGCTTCGCCGTTGAACTTTGAGGTTCATGGGTAGCTATATTGATAAGTATGGTAACCATACTTACAACCCTATTTAGGGAACCAACAACCCTACTGAAAGTACCCATGAACCCCCAAGTAGGGCTCAGGGAACGTCGGGTCCTTCGAGCCCAAATGGATTTCGGGTTTCGGGTTGTGTTTGCGGTTTCGTGGGTAGGGTTCGGGCAGGGTAGGGTAGGATTGAGGAATCGAGGAGTAGGTCTGTTTTTGCCAGCCTCCTAGCCACGTAGCGGCGTGGCGACTGGTAGGCAAAAAAAATTGAGGAAATGCGGGCAACACTTATGATGAAGGAAACAATGAATAGGTTGTAGGCCTTAGGCATTTTGGCCACCCGCCAAGCAGACCAGCCACGCCGGAAGAGAGCCCAAAAACCCCTTCTTCTATGAGTACCAGATCTCTGACACCCTGGGCGTTTAGGCTCCTTTTTGCCACCTAAACCCTAAACCCCCGAAACCCCGAAACCCCCGAAACCCCCTAAACCCCCTAAACCCCCCCAACCCCCTAAACCCCTTAAACCCCTTAAACCCCCTAAACCCCCTAAACCGCCTAAACCCCCTCAACCCCCTCAACCCCCTCAACCCCCTCAACCCCCTAAACCCCCTAAACCCCCTAAACCCCCTAAACCCCCTAAACCCCCTAAACCCCCTAAACGCCCTAAACCCCCTAAACCCCCCAAACCCTCTAAACCCCCCAAACCCTCCAAACCCCCTAAACCCTGGCCCTAAACCCTAAATCCTAAAGGTTTGTGGTTACAGGCATGCACTGGGCCACCAAGATTGGACCTGGAGCGCTGCGAGCGGAAGGACTGGACACTGCCAGTCGCCTCGGCCAAAGTGTCCAGGTTTAGGGGTTTGGGGTTAAGGGTTTGGGTTAGGGTTTAGGGTTTAGGGTTTAGGGTTTAGGGTTTAGGGTTTAGGGTTTCGGGTTTAGGGTTTAGGGTTTAGGGTTTCGGGTTTCGGGTTTAGGGTTTCGGGTTTCGGGTTAGGGTTTCGAGTGTCGGGTTTAGTGGCCATGCACATCTTCTCTGTACCACAGAACCCAATACTTGAAGAATGTAGCTTAAATCCGAATACGGATCCTTACATGGTCACTTCTCTAGATTCTGGGTCCTGTTTGGGAACTATACCCTAAATAATAGGGGGCGCCTGATAATAGTAACCCCAAAGCGGACCATAACTAAGAGACCACAGAAGTCCAGGTGCACTCCTTCATCATGGGGCATTGGCCTCTTTAGTCCCAGTCAGAAAATTCTAGCCTCTATTTAAATTTCGGGTTAGACTCTCGCCGCCTTCTGGGCCCAAGAATTTGATTTCTGGAGCTTCTGGCTTCAGGGCGTACTGGGCTGGATCAGGGGTACATCCGGGATTCGGGCTCACAGAAATCCAATAAAGGCCTATGCGCCCCAAGCCCGTTGGCCAACCCCGAAACCCTAAACCCTAAGCCTAAGGCCTAAAACCCTCTGGTCTGGGCCTAGTTGCTTCCAGATTCTTGCCTTCCGCCAACGCTACAACCTCTCTCTCTCCCAGGCATTCGAAACGTTAAGCCTGCGTGGGATGGCACTCGTGGCCAAGCCTACACCTACAACCTAAACCCCATAAACCTGAATGCCCTAAACCCTAAACCCGAGACAAAACCCTACAACCTAAACCCCATAAGCCCTAAACCCTAAACCCCATAAACCCTGACTCCACCCCAGGGCTCGAGCTGGCCGCAGTGGCAAGTCCGCCGGGGGTGCCTTGCTTGGCTTCGGATTTGGGACTCAGCGTTTCAGGCTTGGGTTTAGAGACTTGTCGACGTTCAGAGCCCACATTCTTGAGTTTAGCACCCAATTCAGTGATGTTCCGACAGCCCTGCTCATACGCACCCCTGAACCTCCAAGTACTTGGGGGGGGGGGGGGGGCTCGAAGAGTATCTCATAAGGTACTCCTGAACCCTAAGCCCTAAATCCTAAACTAAACCCTACACCCTAAACCCTAAAGGAGGCGAGCGGCGCTGATGCCGAAGCCGTTGCCGGTGGCCGGGCGGGAGGCCGGTCGCGAGTCCGGGCCTAATATGGGGGGCCTTAATAATTAAGAAGGAGGCTTTAGGGGTTTAGGGTTTAGGGGTTTAGGGTTTAGGGTTTAGGGTTTAGGGTTTAGGGTTTAGGGTTTAGGGTTTAGGGTTTAGGGTTTAGGGTTTAGGGTTTAGGGTTTAGGGTTTAGGGACCAAAAAGGGAAGAGTAACCATCCCGACCCCTTTTTTATTAACTTTTTAACGCCCGAAAGCCAGGCGAGGGCTGAGTGTCTCCAGGTACTCTGCGGAACTACAGCTGCCGCTTGACCTTAGGGTCTAGGGCTTAGGGTTTTTTTTCCGGGCTCTTTTGAGGGCTGAATGGGAAGATCCACCGATAGCTCCGGGATGTACTGTTGAAGGGCCACGTGAAGCCTTTACGCCCCCAGGGACTCCAATACCCCCTAATTGCGGAATAGTCCTCGAAGTCTAAGAGGGATCTTCCTCAATCAAGGGTTGTTGGAGTCTCTGGGCCCCTCCACGACTATGAAAGTATGGGCTTAGGGTTTGGGTTTGAAGGCTTGGGGTTTGGGGGGGCTGAGACTTCGAAACAAAGCTGAGGGGTTAGGGCTTCTGAGGTTGCCCAGCAAGCTGCCATCTCTTGCTTCAAGAGGCTTAGAAGGGAACCCTAAACCCTAAACCCTAAACCCTAAACACCCTAAAAACCCTAAACCCTAAACCCTAAACCCTAAACCGAACCTAAGTCCCCCGAAAAGGGAATAAGGGCACCACTGGGCATCCTAGGTTTAAGGTTTATGGGTTGAGGGTCTCACTCGGAGGTTCTTTTGGCTAATTAGTTAGAAGAAGGGTTCTAAGTTATAAGTGTGGTAACTCTGCTTCTCACCCCATTTAGGGTTCTTAAACCCTCCTTAGAAAGGCTACCCATGAACCTCCGAGTGAGGGGGCATGTGCCTATCTGAAACACTATGCCTTCCACCGCAAGAGGGCACGTCTCGACTTACAATGATGGTGGCTGCGCACAGCTCCTAAACACTACACCTAAACGCCAAACCCTAAACCCTTAAACCCTAAACCTAAACCCTATTCCTTCATGACGGGTTTTGGGCTTCTGCGCTTGCCATCCGAGCAGCGTGAGTAGGGCTGTTGAACGCCCATGTAACCTCGGTTTAGGGTTTAGGGTTTAGGCCGATTCCGTCAAGCAAATGCCCCAAACCCCTACTTGGAGGGTCGGAGGACTTAGTAAGTAGTTACCCTAAACCCTCAACCCTAAACCCGTTCTCTAATAGCGTTATAAGTAGGATAACTCCAACTAGGGTCCCTTTTAAGGTACTCCCTTAAGCCAGGGGACTTCAGGATGTCCCCTTCCACATGTAGGATTTTGTCCTTATATGGTGTAAGGAATATTCCGCAACTAAGGGGTATTGGAATTCTCTGGGGATATGATATGGGCCGTGAAATAATAGGGGACCCTGATATACCCCTTAGAAACCCAAAACCCAAAACCCTAAACCCCAAACCGAGACTTCCGGTCCCTCTAAAGAAGGTAAGGGTCCATATTTCGAGTGGTTCTACCTTGGACCCTTAAGGTTGTACCCTTGGGTTTTGGGGTCCCTTTTTAAGGATCCCCAAGGGTAAAGGGGCGTATACTACGAGTCTGCATTCCTTGAACACTGAAGAACCTTGTAACTACCCTAAGACCAAGTCCTGGGACGCGGGCTTAGTTCTTCGGAGGGAACTTGGGAATTCAGTACCATCTCTTGTCCCTTTCAAGGGCTTTCAAGGAGGCATCGAAGGTTAACTCGCTACCAAGAACCAGCAAGTTTAGGGCTTCTTGGAACCAACACGCCCGACGGCATTCGGGCATGCAGAATTTCTGTTGGGATGGGAAGCTTGGAGCCATGGTATTGAGCCAGACAACATGGCTCCGCATCAAGATTCGTGCCTCACCTTCACAACGCGTCAGCTCGCACGGGGTTCTGGCGACTTCACACGGAAGATGCTGAGTGGAGGTTTGGGTAAGCACAAGTAGGGCGAAGAGTATGGGGGCTACATTTACAACCTGTTTCGGGCACAAACAACCCAACTTACACCTACCCACGAACCTCCAAGTATGGTTTCCTCACAACTGCAGCCTGGGCTTCAGAAGCTCCCCAAGGAGCTCCAATACCCCTCAATTAAGCAATTTACCCTTGAGTCATACTAAGGATCTCTGTATAGTTTAAGGAAATACTCCAAACCCTAAACCCTAAACCCCAAACCCTAAACCCCACAGGGGTACATTTGGCTTCATAGGCTCCTGAGCTCCCTGCGTCTAGACATCTCAACGAAGGGCGATGGAACGCCGGCTGCTTGGTGGTAACCTGGTAGGGAGTAGGGTTTAGGGCTTAGGGCTTAGGGCTTAGGGTGTAGGGTTTAGGGTTTAGGTTTTGGGTTTAGGGTTTAGGGTTTAGGGTTTAGGGTTTAGGCTTTAGGGTTTAGGGCTAGGGTTTGGGGTTTAGGGTCTGGGGTGGGCTTAGGGTTCCATGCCTTGAGGGGCTTGGGGTTCTAGGGAAAAATCAACAATAAAAAAACATATATATGTATACATATATATATATATGTTCTTACTTATTAAGGGTAATATGGGGGATAATACTTTTTGTTCTTGTGGGGTTCTTAAGCAAATAGTAGCTTAGCATTGGGTTTTGTAGCTTCATCCATGGGCATCCCAATCGATGGGGCTCCCAGGGGTGAAAACGGTGCGGGATGCAGTACTATAGAGGTCTTCAGGGTTCTTGTCGTTTCAATATACAGGGATCATAAGGGAACAATATGAGCACTTCATCCGACCCCTGTGCTATTCATCTAAGGGCCTTCCTCCTAAACCCTAAACCCTAAACCCTAAACCCTAAACCCTAAACCCTAAACCCTAAACCCCCATAAACCGCCACCAAATTTTTGCACCAGGCATGGCTGGGTTGTGCTTTAAAGCCTTTAAAGCTATTTGTAAAAATAGGTTCCCTATAAGGAAAGAGAGGACAAAATGTCCCAAAGCACAACCCAGATTGGGTAGATCATCTGGGGGTTTACGACAATAAGGGACCCCAAATATAGACCCCCCAAATACTAGGATCCCCTTTTAATAAGAACCCCACTAAGGTACCCCTGGTATCGTAAAACCTCCACATGGAGCCTGCAACAGTGGCTCCCGCTAACCCTGCTTCCCTGAATCCCTTTGGCTTGGCCTCGGAAGGTTTAAGAGATTTTAGGGTTTAGGGTTTAGGGTTTAGGGTTTAGGGTTTGGGGTCCAGGGTTTAGGGTTTGGGGTCTAGGGTTTAGGGTTTGGAAGTTAGATTTGTAGGGTTTAGGGCTTAGGGTCGTCATAGGGCCATGCCAATCTCTCTGTGTCCTTTCCACGTTTGTCGGAGGCCTGGGGTTTAGGGGTTTAGGTTGGGATGTTCTCCCCTTATACTAACAGTCCTTACCCTAAACCCTAAGCCCTAAGCCCTAAGCCCTAAGCCCTAAACCCGAAACCCTAAGTAGTACCCCCGATTATAATCCCTAAAGAATGGAGCTGTTCGTAGAAGGGGGAGCATGCCAAAGGTTTCGGGTTGGCCCCCGGCTTCTTCCAATGGCACACCAGGAGTTGTTGAAGAACTCCTGGACTGGAAGCCATTTTTTGGCTTGGTGAGTCTTTTTAAAGAGGGTTCTTATGAAAACCCTCTTTTTGACTTAGTGAGTCTTTTAAAGAGGGTTTATGATTAAAAAACATCTTTTGGCTTAGTGAGCCTACTTAGTATGAACCCGCCTTACTAACCCTACTTACGACGTCAGAAGGGCTTCCAGGGAGGCTCGAGGGGTTTAAGGGTTTAAGCTTGAGGGGTCTGAGGCTGGACCAGGCGCAGCAGAGGGGGAGAGGGGAGGGGGGTGGGGGCAGCAAACAACAACTAAAAGCCCTTAACACCCCAAGGAATAGATCTTCGACCACAATACACTAAGGCGCCCTTTTGATGGTTTAAGGGGCCTTCCATCATTGAGGGGTCTTGGGCTTTCTGGGAATAACAAAAAAAGCAAGCAAACACAGGGTAAGGAGACGACTCATTGCACAGACCAATGCTTCCCACCCAGTGGGAAAACTCGAAACTTGGAGGTACCCAGAGTTTAGGGTGTAGGCCGGCATTGTGGAATATGCCTTACACTATCTAGCATCCCATTATGAACTGAGGCACGTTCCGTTAATTAAAGGGCACTGGGCTCCCTGCGTACCTGGTGCCCCAGTTTGGGACACGTGCTTAGGTTGTAGGATTTAAATGTTGAAGCACAATTTGTTTTGCCGCATATATATATATATATATCCTATGGTAACTCAACGTTTAAGCGCCCAGACGTGCAAGGACTCAGCCCTGCCAATGGTACTTCCCTGAGGAGTATGGCATGCACAAACCTGCGACTGGACCGCTCTCCGACCCTGAGCCCTAAACCCTAAGCCCTAAGCCCTAAGCCCTAAGCCCTAAGCCCTAAACCCTAAACCCTAAACCCTAAACCCCTAAACCCCTGAACCCTAAGCCTCAAACATCAGACTCCTTGGGATTCCCGGGCGGCTCCAGGTGGCTGCCTCGGATTGGCGGGTGGGTTTAGGGTTTAGGGTTTAGGGTTTAGGGTTTAGGGTTTAGGGTTTAGGGTTTAGGGTTTAGGGTTTAGGGCTTAGGGTTTAGGGTTTGGGGCATGGGGTTTGGGGTTTAGGGTTTAGGCCGCTTGGGAGCCCTTTGTTAACTTCGTAAGTCTACTTACTATCCCACCTATGACAATCACTAGAGCCCAACTTTCTAACCCTGCTTACTAAGTTTAAAAGGGCTTGCAAGTGATGGCGGGGGGGGAAAGGGGAAGGTTGGGTTCGGGTTGCCTAAACCCTCTCTCTCTCTCTCTCACAGGCGCTCGGTTGCCTAAACCCTTTTTGCATCCGGGCTATGAAGTCCTGGCCGGAAGTAGCAGACTCTCAAGAGGCAACCCTGAACCCTAAAACCCCCAGGCTAAGTTGCGGGCGGCTCAGGTGTGCCCCGCAGGATTTGGCGGTAGCGGAGGCGAGGGCAAAACGACTATCAACCAAAACCGAGCAAGTCCGCACATGTTCAGATGCGATTCCTGCAAGTACAGTAGCTGCGTGTGCACTAAGCCGCAAACTCCCACCAGGGCGTGCATCAAATCAAGCGTTCGGCCCCTCCCGGCTAAAGCCTTCCCCATGGTAAGGAATTGACCTTCAAAGATATGGCCCTTAATCCTGACCCCAAAAACCCTTTTTTGCTAAACCCTAAACTGACCTCAACCCTAAACCCTGAACGCCCCTAAACCCTTTACCCTTAACCGCCCTGAACTCGAAACCCTAAACCACTATGAGAACAAGGAAAATAACTGACCTCTCCAAATACCAAGGAATAAAAAAATGTAAGCTTATTGTTTCGACCAAATAATGGACACCCCAAAAAAGTTTGAAGTTCAGCTACCCAAAGAGCCCACTACCCCTTCATTGAAGAATATACCCTTAGATCATACTCAGGATCCCTATATAGCCTAAGGGAAATATTCCTGAATTAAGGGGTATATTGGGCTTTCTGGATACTGTCAAAGTAGCCCTTTACCCTAAACCCTAAAATGAGAACAAGGCCAAAGCGCCCCTGGAGGGAATGAGGTACCCTACAGAATCCCTTAAAGAGTATGTATATATATATATATGTATATAGGGGGGATATGGGGTACCGCGTTCCCTCAATCCCTAAACCCTAAACCCTAAACCCTAGAGCCAGCCAATAGAAGGCCCCAGCGGCGTCGGAGGGTCGGGTGCGTGTTCAGCGCGTGGCTTGGATGGTCCTTGGCCTCCTTGGAGATGACTTCGGACCAGAGCCTGCAAAACAGGGTTTAGGGTTTAGGGTTTCGGGTTTAGGGTTTAGGGAGGTGGAGAAAAGGGATTCGGCCGGGTTCCTGCGTGGTACTTTGCGTAGGGCTGTAAAAGGTGCCAAGTTCCAAAACTCCTACGAAAGAGCCACTGCATCTGCCGCCCCGGCACTTGCCCTGCATTGCAGGGGATAGACTTTTTGCCACGCCATACCTCAGCACAACCAGCATGTTGGAGAGCCCCAGAGAGCCCAACAAGTCTTCGTTACCCAGAGAGCCCTTGAGACCCCTAGCCCCATACCCCTTAAGTCAGGATATACACCTTAAACGAGTAAGGGTCCCTTGCACATGGGGCATATTTCCATAATTAAGGGGTTTTGGGCTCTCTGCGTACCCTGAATGAAGAACTTGGCCTATGGACTAGCATGCATGGTGGTAGCCAGGCGGCATGCTGGCCGGGAATGGCAGAGGCGCGGCAAAGGCGCCAGGGACGACGTGGGGGCCCGGAGCAGCAAGCGGCTGCGGTGCAAACCCGAGGGGCCCACAGGAGCTTCTGCACAACTTCCCTTGGCTGCACTTAGTAGGGTAGCTATAAATTATGTTTTAGCTGCGTTATTAAGAAACCCAATAAACCCAAAAAAGGCTAAGGATCTAAAGTTACAGTAAAGCACCACAGAGATCCTTAACCCTACAAACCCTAACCTTTTGCAACTGGAAACCCTAAACCCTAAACCCTAAACCCTAAACCCTAAACCCTAAACCCTAAACCCTAAACCCTAAACCCTAAACCCTCAACTCAACCCTTACACCCAATGATTCCGACGCACGGCTGCTCTGCTTCGGGCCCCGGGCTTTCGGAGCACTTGGCATCAGGGTTGGGACGTTCCCCTTCTCCTAACAGCCCTTAAGACCCCGATTCTAATCCCTGTTAAGGACTGATAGTATAAGGGGGAAGATCCCAAGGTTGAAGTGTTTAGGATCCAGGGTTCAGGGCTTAGAGTTTTGGAGCGAAGCCGTACTGGCTGACGCGCCTTGAAAAAAGTTTAGAGCTTCGTGCTTAGGGTTCGTAACAACGAAGAAACCTGTGAGCCGCTCAGCACCTGATGGTTTAGGAGCAAACGCAGGTCGGGTACGGCACGCAGCCAGCCGACACAATCCCCCCCTGCCCCCCCCCCACCCCCCATGCGTACTTCACAGGTTCAAGGTGAAGGTTCCCGTTTTTCGAGAACAGACATGAACACCGCCCGCATTCAGCACGTCACTAGGTCTACGCGGCGCCAGAACAAAAAAACTTGTTCGGGAACCACCCTGCCCTAAACCCTCGACCTCCCAGATTCCACCAGTTGGAAAGCCTGTAACAAGCCTAGGAGTCCTTAGAAACCCTAAACCCTAAACCCTAAATTCTAAGAAAGCCTGTAACAAGCCTAGAAATCCTTAACCGAAACCTCTCGAGGGACTCCGAGGTTCGGAGCCTGAATCGTGGAAAGGAAGCTTTCCGGTAGCCCGCACCTCGGCAACCCTGAATTGAGGCTTGGGGAGGATCCTACCAGTGAGAGAGGAGAGAAAAGAGGAGGGTTTAGGGTTTAGGGTTTAGGGTTTACGGTTTAGGGTTTAGGGTTTAGGGTTTAGGCTCATTCCCTACTAAGAACCAGGAGAACTTCTGCGCTGCAGGCTGTGACGTGGCAGAGGGCGAGGTGGCAGGGGTCGAGGAAGCACCACACACTTGGAGGTTCATGGGTAGCTATAAGTAGGTTTTTGAGTATGGTAGCTATACTGATAAGCCTATTTAGGGTACTTATAACCCTGCTTACTACTATTTGCTTGAGAACCCCAGAAGAATCTTACAAAAACATATAATATTCCCTATATTACCCTTAATGCGGAAGAATATGTTTTGTTTTGATGTTTTTACATTTCGGGGTTCTGAAGCAACTAGTAGCTTATCTACCCATGAACGTCCGAGCAGCCCATGACGCCGGGCCTGAAGTTGGTTGTAAAGCAAGCAGGCGCGTGGCACGAAAGGCTGAGGGTGCGTGAGCCGCAGCTTGGTTTTCTGGCTGGTTCTTGGTAGGGAATGAGGTACCCTATATAATATAATCCCTTAAAGGGTATATGTAGGGCCCTAATTGCCTCATTCCATACTAAGAACCAGGGGGCTTTGGGCTTGGTGAACTTTATTCAGAACGAGGGGTACCCCCTAGTTATCCGAAACCCCGCACATGTTGTTTTGCCTCATGCACTCCCGGCCTGAGCCCTTCTGATTCAGCTTCATGGGCCGAAGCTGTCCACCCTAAACCCTAAATCCTAGGCCCTAAACCCTAAACCCTGAACCCTGAACACTAAAACCCTAAACCCTAAACCCTAAACCCTAAACCCTAAACCCCAATCCCTGAGCCGGTTTGTGGCTGCTGGGTCGCCAGCACACCCAGGTAAGCAGCATGGACGACAACCATGTAGCCTCGGAAGGACTCGGGCTGAGGGTTTAAGGCTTAGGGTTTAGGACTTCGGGTTTAGGGTTGCTGTCCAGGGACTCCAATGCCCCTTAACCACTCAGAAATCTTCCCCAGCTCAGAAAAGGAACCCCTAAACCCTAACCCCTAAACCCTAAACCCTAAACCCTTACTATCCTTATGTAAGGAAGATTCCTTAGTAATCTGGGAAGGCCACAGTGCGACAGCTTCCGGGGTTTTGTTTGGGGGGGATCCACATGTATGATTATGGGGTTGTGGGTTTAAGCTTAAGGGTTTAGGGTTTAGGGTTTAGGGTTTCCTTACGTTGAGGCGATGGTTACTAAGCCCTGAACATTCAGTGGAGAGCCCGCAAACCAGTCTTTTCAGGGACAACAGATAGGATTGCATGGGGGCCCCGATAACTTTGGGCTTGGGGTTGAGGACCTTAAACCCTAAATCCCGAACCCACAAGAACTGGGAGTCACGCCCTGCCCCTTCACCTCGGAAAGCAACTTGCTCTCGTCCACCGATATTTCCTGGAGGGCCTGGGAGTTGGGCGCTTTTGTCTTGGTTTTTGGGTCGGGAAGAGCGAGAACCTCCCTTAAAGCTGTGCCTTCTTTCACACGAACGGAGTTTCTATTGGCTGTATAGGGTTTAGGGGCTAACGGGGCATGGTGGCCCCAATCCAAACCCTAAACCCTAAACCTTAAACCCTAACTTGGAGGCTCATGGGTAACGGGTTGTCGGTACCACAAATAGGGGCAGAGGTACAGTTACCATGCTTATCACCCGACTTGTAACTACCCATCGAACCACCAGGTAAGCTCCTAAACCCTTTAAACCCAAACCCTGCTTTGCATCTGGACTGCGGGAACCCCAAACCCTAAGCCCTCTTCAACCCACACCTCTAAGACACTAACCAAACCCAAACAAAAAAAACACAAGGGGTTGGTCTACATTCGGGCCGCTTTTCGTGAGACAATATATACATGCCTTGTAGTTCCAGTGGCTCTTCAATATACCCAAAGCGCCCCGGCCCTAAAGACCCTTCGAAAATTTTCCTGAACATGAGCCTCTTCGAATTTAACCCGAGCAGGGAAAATATAAAATGTCCCGCCAAAGGCCTTCCTAGATTTACATGGATTGCGGTATAAGCCCTTAGGGCCTGAATGATTAGAACAGGGTTTTGGGGCTTATGATAGTATCAGTATAACCATAAAGGAGCCCTAAGGGAATATGATTCGCCGACCCCAACATTAAGTCCTTAATTCACTAGACCCAGGAGTCAGCTAGGAATAGAAAGGGCACCCCTTTTTGTTCTTTGTGGGGGATTCCAAGGGGGACCTCAACCCTAAAAGAGGGAACAAGGGCCCACTCCGGGCTCCAGTCGGGGGAACTAGGCGTTGGTGGGGGGGGACAGAGCAACAGACGCCCACCTTTGCGACTTCGCCTGGCCACTGGCAGGTCTCCGCGCCTATGCGGGGGCTTCGAAAGGGCTTAGGGTTTAGGGTTTAGGGTTCAGGGTTTAGGGTTTAGGGCTTTAGGGCTTTTAGGGTTTTAGGGCTTTTGGGGTTTAGGGCTTTTGAGGTTTTAGGGTTCGGCTGTCAGCTGCCGTCTCTGGTCTGACCCACACCATGCAAGGGTTTAGGGGCACTCAGGCCTAAACTTTGGGCATGTAGAGAGACGAATGCCCCTTTAGCTAGGGAAGACAGCTTAAGTCACAACATGGATTCATGTATATTGGGACCTTATGTAGGTTCAGAATCTTGTCACCTGCCCAGCAGCATTGGCACTTTTTGTGGCTGATACTGTAGTTATATAGAGGTTGCGCAAGGATGCACTGGCAGCGAATAGTTGCAGCTCCTACTAGGATTTCGGGTTTAGGCTGAGGGCTTGTCGTGGAGTGTTTCATCCATGTGCACATTGGCCGAAGAACCTCTAAACCCCTTTTTGCATCCGGGCTTGGGCAGTCGGCCGGGGATGGAAGCCCTAAACCCTAAACCCTAAACCGTGCTCCAAAGCATCAAGCGCATCGGGCTGTGGCGATTGCTGACGGTCAGGGCCTGATCACTTACCTACTAGTTGCTTGACAACCCCCCCTAAAAAAATAAACAAAAGACTCCTCCCTTACTCTCCCTTATAAGGTTAATATAGGGATTTTTGTTTGTGTTATTCTTCTTGTGGGGTTCTTAAGCAAATAGTAGTTACCTGCGCGGCTCTTGTGGCCTTGAGTTCAGGCCTGTCTAGAGTGCCGGACTTCCCACGCTTTGCACGGCCTTGAGCCCTTATTTGACGCCTAACCCCAGTGTGAAACCGAAGCCCAGAACCCTAAACCCTAAACCCCAAGCCCAGAAACCTTAAACCGCCTTAAACCCTACAAAAGAGGCTTCCGAGTCCCTAACAGCCCCACACCCAGGCGTCCGGCATCGGTTCGTCTTCACCCGCTCAGGCCCCAGCCTGTCTCAGGGCGTTTGGCTTCTAAGGTTTCGGATTTAGGGTTTGGGGTTTGGGGCATAGGGCTGTCTTTTCAGGGTTTGGGGACGCGAGCCGCATCAAGATTTAAGGCTGTTGGGGTTGTGGGGCTTAACCCTAAACCCTAAACCCTAAACCCTTTTAGGGTTTCAAGGTTTTTTTCGGGGCTTCTGGACACGCGCCGAAGAAGCCACGCAGCCGCCAAACTTAAGACTTCGGGCTGAGGGCCTGTAGGTTTTGGATTGGGGACTTGGGTTTTGGGGTTTAGGGTTTGGGGTTTGGGGTTTAGGGTTTGGGGTTTAGGGTTTGGGGTTTAGGGTTTAGGGTTTGGGGTTTAGGGTGGAGGGTTCGGGGTTTAGGGCTTGCGGGGGATTTGGGGCGTTTTAGGCTTCAAGGGTTTCAGAATTTCGGGCTTGGGGCTTTAGGGCTTCAGGGTTTTGGGGGGTCTGGCTTGAGGGTTTTTGGGGCTGGCTCGTGGGGTGCCGTGGGCGTCGCGCTAGGCTTAGGAACTTGGGGGTGTAGGGCATACGGCTGGCAGTTTTCAGGCGAAGGCTCTGATATCGGGAAAGAACCCTAAATCATAAACACCCTTTTGAGCAACGGACTTCGGAGGCTGCCGGCAAACATGCAATCATAAACACCCTAAACCCTAAACCCTAGTGGGAGACCCTAGGTGGGGAGAGGGGGGGGGGGGTGAAGGCGGGGGAAGCCTCCAGGTGAGCAAGCCCCTACGCCGGCTTGGGGGTGGATGGGTTTCGCGTGGTTTGTTGAGGGTTTAGGGTTTACAGGGTTTATAGGGTTTAGGGACGGGTTTTTAGGCTTTGCTTGTGGCTTCTCTAAGGTTTCGGGTTCGGGGTTGAGGACCAGCCCAGGTGGAGCATCCTAAGCTGTACAACCACAAACCCTAAACCATCACTGAAGCTCCAAAGCCCTAAACCCCAAACCCCAAACAACCCTGGCTTCTCAGGAGCTTTGCCGATTGGCCTGGCGACTAAACCCCGCAGGAAGCTCACCGCCTGGTCACGCAGAGGTGCTTCGGGTTTAGGGTTTAGGGCTCCCAAACCCTAAACCCTAAACCCTAAACCCTAAACCCTAAACCCCAACCGCCCCTCTCGCACACGGCGGGCAAGGCTTCAACGTCCACTCTGACAAAGGGAGCCCCTCTTTAACTATCGAGTTCCCGCAAAGCACGCCACACTCGTTTGTTTCCCGAACACACCTTCAGCCCCTGTAAGTTTTGGGCTTTAAGGCTTGGGCTTAGGGGTTTAGGGCCTACGGCCCGTAGTTGTATCGAACATCATCATTAGGCTGTTCAAGCCAAGCCCAGAATTGACCATAAACCCTATAAACCTTCAGCCTCCAGGTAACCCTGGCCGCTCTAAACCCTAAACCCTTAACCCTTAACCCTAAACCCTAAACCTCCGTTGCAGGCGTCCGGGTTGCCCCGAGCTCGAGCTGGTGTTGTCTCCCATCTTGAACTGCCGCCGAACCCAACCCTGTATGAAGGCACATGGACCCTAAACCCTAAACCCTGAACCCTAAACCCTAAGCCCTGAACCCTGAGTCCTGAAACCCTCAACCCTAAACCCCAAACCCTGAACCCTGAGTCCTGAAATCCTAAACCCAAAGCCCATGACCCTGGCGAGACCGAAGCCCTGACGATCGGACCCACCCCCCGATACCTCTACTCCGAAACCATGTTTAGGGTTTAGGGTTTAGGGTTTAGGGTTTAGGGTTTAGGGTTTAGGGTGTTAAAAAGCAAACTCCAAATAAAAGACTTCAAAAAGTGTAAACATGCAGGTTATAATAGGGGTCGGAATAATTGCCAACAGTGTTCCCTTATGGCTGCCCACCTCGATTTCCATTCCTGTGCAGCCGCACTCCTTGAACCAAATGACCTGCCACGTGCTACGTCGGAGTCGGAGTTTAGGAATTATGGAGTTTGGCACTCTCTGCAACAGGAGGCTGTGCAACATTTGGAGGGTTAGGCAAGTATTCCCTTATCTGGTCTTTGATATGTGGGCGGTGCGAAGCGTCCAAAGATGGAACCCCCTCGCAGACAGATGTGTATGCACATGGTTCACGTTTGATGTATGCTGTGGCCCCCCAGGCCACGCTGGGTTTAGGGTTTGGGCGCTTGGGGGTAGGGCGTTTAGGGTTTCGCGTCTAAGGCAAAGTGCATGCCGCCTTCTCTGCAATGCGGCAAGCGACGTGCCACCGCGGCATAACGGCGGAAATCTAAGTTCTTCCGTGTTACAGCTGTCGGGTAGTCCTAGGGGCCCTTAGACCCTACGAGCTCTATAAACATTGTATACCTGTGAATTCAAAAAAAACTTTTCAGCCCTTTCAACCCTATTACCTACAGACCCGATATTAGCCCTGTAAACCCCCCACGAACCCTATAAGCTCTGCAAAACCTATATGCCCTACAAGTCGTCCCATAAACCCAAGCCAAAACCAAAGGGGACAAGGACGCGGATCCTAAACCCTAAACCCTAAACCCTAAACCCTAAACCCTCTGAGGGCTTTTCAGGTCTCGGATCTCCACTCTCACTCGCGGGCAAGGCTTCCGTCCACGCTACTTGGAGGTTCATGGGACTTAATAGCCACTTATAACTGTGCTTATAACCCTACTTATAAGACCCCTAAAGGGCCTTATAGGGGTATTATAAGTGGTACAGTTATAAGTTATAAGTGGTTATTAAGTCCCGTGAACCTTCAAGTACTCTTCCCTCCGAGAAGTTACTGGCAGTTGACCCCTTATGCCGGCCAGAACCCATCGTCAATGTCCCACAACACCATACCATGTTCAGCTTAGCCCCTTCTGGCCCACATGTGGTCGAGCACATGGAAGGAATCAATACATCGATGGGCTACTAGGGCTAGCTGCAACAACCGAAAGCCATCTCAGTACAGCCAAGGGAAAGGATGGCGAGTCAGGACAGCTTGGGTGACCGCGCCAGCAAAGGCGAGCATAGCCAGACGTCCATTCTTCAGCTCGGCCAAGCGCATCTTCTTCTGGCCCTCTTCGTCGCTGGGGAACCAGCTGGTAAGACCATAGTCACCAGCGACCTCCAGAGAGTTCCACTCGAAGACCTTCTTCGTGCAGCAGAGCTCAATGAGGCTGACCCAGAACAAGACCTGGGCATTGACACCTGTGGCGCCGCGGAAGGCTTCGTGAGCATCGATGGAGACAGGCACGGCCTCGAAGGAGAACTTCTCGCCCGGCAGGCGAACGAAGTCCGGGACCACCAAGCCGAGCCAGGCGAGCATACAGATGCGGCCGTGCTTGAGCTCTGCCTCACGAAGCCAAGGGACCTGCTCCGTTTTCGAAGAGAAGCCCAAGGGATCGAACTCGTAGCGCCCCCAGGCGCCCTCGGAACCCACCAAGCCCTGCGCGAACTTGCCGTTGTCAAGGAGATCGATGCCGGAGTCCTCGTAGGCAACGGCCAGCTCACGGCGAGCTGCCTTGAGCGCGGCCTTCTGCGCCGTGCGTGCCCGCGCCGGGCGCGCTGAGGCGAGCGCAGTTACTGCTAGAGCACCGCCGGCAGCAATGGCACCAATGGCGCCCACACCGGAGCCCGCGCTGGTTGTCGAGCCACGTAGCTGCGGAGCAGCTGTTGTGCCCGCACCTGTGCCCGCAAAGCTGGGGAGGAATGCGGGTGCCACGAGGCCGGCAGCCGCCGCAGTGGCTAGGCAAGCCGCCGTCTGGCTGCTTGGCATGGTGAGCAGAGAGTCGGCAAGGTCCCCCAAAAAAAACGTGCCAAAATGGCTCGGGTTGAGGGTTAATAGGTTTTGGGTCTAGCACATGGGCATGCAGGATTCACCCGGGCTTCTCTTGCAGGTTCATGGGTAGTTTCAAGTAGGGTTGCCAGTGCGCCAGGTAGGGTTACAATTATAGCTACCATACTTGTATACCCTACCTAGAACTACCCATGAACCTCTAAGTTTGGGTGCTCGAACGTAGGTGGTACACGTGAAGACAAGATCACACTCCGGAGGCAAAGACTCCGCACCAGCCGAAGCCCTAAACCCGAAAACCCAAACCCCAAATCCTAAACCCTTTTCCTAAACCCCAAACCGTAAACCCTAAACCCTAAACCCTAAACCCTAAACCCTAAACCCTAAACCCTAAACCCTAAACCCTGAACCCCAAACCCGAGAGATGCCGGCCGAAACCCGAAGCAAACCCCCTGCCAGGCCTGCTTGATGTGGGCACCTGACAGGTGGTGCAGGTGAGCGCAGTCCCCTTGTTGCATCTGGCCTGCCCTAAAGTTTAGGGTTTAGGGGTTAGGGTTTAGGATTTAGGGTTTAGCGTTTAGGGTGTGAACCACCTTAAACCTTACTAAGGACCCCCATACAGTTTCAGGTACCCGAATTACTTAAGCGGTTGTGGACTTTCTGGGTCTGCCCTAGACCAGGACATCTGCAGCTCCAGGGCTTGCTCTCAAACGTTTCTTCAGCATCTGGATGAGTTGCGCTTGCTTCTAAAACAGCCAGGGAAGGATCAAGGTTGAGCTTGCTAAACCCTAAACCCTAAACCCTAAACCCTAAACCCTAAACCCTAAACCCTAACCCCAGAGGGTTTAAAGTTCAACTCGTGGGTGAGAAAGGAACTAGTGTGTTGAGCAGGTTCAAGGGGACGTTGGCCCGCAGGATGGCCCAAGGCGACGCGCCGAAAAGATGGCATCTTACTGGATGGAAAGCGCGAAAAACAGGTGTAGGGTTTAGGGTTTAGGGTTTAGGGTTTATAAGGTTTAGGGTTTAGGGTTTAGGGGTTTTGGGCTCTCTGGGACAGTCCCAAACAGTGCGCCTAGGTCACTTCACTTGCTCTCCCTCTTGCCCAAGATCAGGCAGTTGCCCAAGGGTGTACCCGCATAAGACCCTAGTTGCCCTAGTTCCATCTTCAAACGACGCTCCTTTTCTTTCTTCCCCTATCCGGAAAGGAACCTCACAAGAACTTCACATCGACACAGATTCTCTGAGTTTGGGGTTTCAGGTTTCGGGTTTAGGGTTTAGGATCTAGGGGTTAGGATCCTCTGGGAGGCATTTGGCAGCTGCGTCTTAATGAATCTGCTGGGCACTGCCGGAATCTGCGGCCGGAATTCCGATCCCTAAACCCTAAACCCTAAACCCTAAACCCTAAGCCCTAAACCCTAAACCCTAAACCCTAAACCCAAGCAACATGAGGCCGAGCCCTGAAGCCAAACTCCCGAAAGCCTCGCAAAAAGCCCCTCCTCTGCACGTTCAAGAGGAACCGTGAACCCTAAACCCTAAACCCTAAACCCTAAACCCTAAACCCGAAACCCTAAACCCTAAACCCGAAACCCTAAACCCTAAACCCTAAACCCTAAACCCTAAACCCTAAACCCTAAACCCTACACTCCACGCCTGTGGGCCCGGAGGGCTCGGGTGCCTCCTGGTTGGGCTCGGCGCCCTCGCCGTGGGCCGCGAGGCAGAAGGCACCAGGAGCGGGAGGGTTTAGGGTTGAGGGTTTAGGGTTTAGGGTTCAGGGTTCAGGGTTTAGGGTTTAGGGTTTTTCTTCCCACCCGTTTCGCAAGGGTTTAGGGTTTGGGGTTTAGGGTTTGGGATTTAGGGTTTAGGGTTTTAGGGATTAGGATTTAGGGTTTTAGGGTTGAAGGTTTTAGGGTTTGGGGTCATAGTGTTTAGGGTGCCTATGAATCTCTGTGTATTGATGCTGACTTACATGTATGTGTGTCTATACAAACCTCAGCACCGTGTGGGGCGTTGGTCGTCTTTGCTATGAGGTCAACTCCTTCATCAGAAGGCTCGCTGCGGGCAAACTCATCTTAGGCGCAAAAGCGCACGTGTGTAGTGCATGCTGCGCACTTCTTTCGGAATTTTCACTGGCAAGCAAGTGCATGGGCGCGCGTATGTATCTGATATCTCTCGCGTATCACTTGCACTTCCCCTGTGTGGAGAAACGACCCTAGACCCTAAACCCCAAACCCTAAACCCTAAACCCCAAGCAGGCATAACAAACAACCCGAAGCCAGACACGCCCGAGAGTCCACCCCAAGTACGCCTCTGGCTCCGCCTCGTTCTCGCCTGCTTCCTCACTGGCCTTGCGCTTTGGGGTCGAGAGTGCGAGACGGTGGAGAGAGAGCGGAAGAGGGAGATAGAGGGATGGAGAGCAAGGAGCGTGGGTTGGGAGACAGAAAGGAGAAAGAGAGAGAGAGAGAGACACGGACAGAGTGATTAAGAGCCTCTGCATGGGTGCAATTTTTGACTGCGAACGCTACAATCCGCCCAGGTTGGGCGACACACCCTGCACCTCTGCGCAAGACCTTCGCAAGTCCGGTTGAAATTAGCAGCCTCTGTGTCTACAGAACTATTTCATTGCAGAGACCTAAGAATCCTATGAGTGCTGTAGAAACAGCAACCTGCAGAAAAAATAGATTCTGGAGGTGACATCGAAGCTAAAGTCACCTATACCATCCCTTGAGAGACCTCAATGCAAGTATGAGTTAAGAACCCTAAACTCTAAACCCTAAACCCCAAACCCTAAACCACAAACCCTCAACCCTAAACCCTGAAGCTGCCAAACACACCACGCCTTGCCCTCCGCGCTCTCTTCAGCTGCCTGGTTGCCCCCCCAGGACTTGGGTTTAGGGCTTAGGGGGCCCTAAACCCTAAAACCCTAAAACCCTAAACCCTAAAACCCTAAACCTTTTTCTCATCTGGGCTGGGTGAGGAATGCCAGAAAAAAAGCAGCTGCTTGCACAGCCTAAACCCTAAACACTAAACCCTATGTTTGTGTTCTCTGCAAAGTCTGGGAGCAGGGCCTAAGGGCTTGAAGGATCGGGGTTGACTGCGCATATTGGTCTCACTGAATTCGAAGCAGACACACTATATCATCTACTCCAGACGGGGGCCAAGAGTCCCACCATAGTGTCTCCGTGTAGTCCTACACCATTCCGAAATACGTAGGTAGCCTATATGTTTACACCATTCTCCTAAACCCTAAACCCTAAACCCTAGACCCTAAACCCTGAACCCTAAAGTCGACGGAAGGTTTATAGACGCCGGAGGCCTCGTGGCCTTCAGCCTCTGTTGTTGAGGGCTCAACGTCCTGTGCGGAGACGCGCCAGGGGGCCGCAGTATCTTTAGGGTTTAGGGTTTAGGGTTTAGGGTCCCTTAATAAGGCAGATTCCTGACATGGCATTCGGGACGCCGAGTTTGAGTGAAGAGTCCTTTCTTACGGGGGGGGGGGGGGGGGGCCCAACGTTCGGGGTTTCAGGCCTCGGGTCGAATCACAAGAAAGACCCTCCAGAATAGAAGGCCTCTTGTCTACTTATATCTCGTCATAAAACTCTGCCCAACCCTTTAACCCCCTAGCACACGTATATTGCCTACAATATAACTAGTCTTGTGCTGGCCCTAACTCTTAAACCCCTAAACCGCAGGGGCCCTAAACCCTAAACCCTACACCCTTAAACCCCTGAACGCCGAAGTTGAACTGCTTCAGGCATATCTATACTCCCCTTAGAACCTTAATAAAAACAATATGTTTCATACCCTCTTGGGTTGCATAATAAACAAAAATAACACATAATTCCCAAGGGGGATGTGGATATGGCAGTGGCTGGGTCCCAACTGAAGCCGAGCACCTTCAAGTGAGCCCGGTTTTAGGGTTGAGGGTTTAAAATCTTGGGGGTTTAAGGGGTTTAGGGGCGTAGGGGCCTAGGTACTTCGGGGTTTTGGGGTTTGGGGTTGAGAGGGCTCAGGGGGAGCCCCTTCCTGAACCAAAACCCTAAACCCTAAACCGCCAAGGCAACTCTGCAGCACCTGAAGCCCTAACCTTGACCTCCCCCTTTGGCAGCCCCAAGCCCCGCCAGGACTCCGGATTTTGGGTTTAGGACCCGGGAGCCGCATAAGCACAAGACAAATCTGTATAGGCCATGGAAGGCCCTATGCTACAGGGATCTCCGAAATCAACGAGCCCTAAGAGTAACCTAGGAATGCAGAAGGGTGCCCTTTTTTGGTCTGAAGGGGCTTATATGGGAACCTGGGCCCCAAAAAAGGGGGGGAGAAGGCTGGGGGTTGCTCTGGACCCTACTTGGAGGTTCATGGGTACTTATAACCACAGTGCTAAGTCTACGTATGACCTACTTAGGGGACTTAGGGGGCTTATAAGTACATTCAAAAAAGGGGGAGATAGTACCCTGAACTGCCCTGAACCTCCAAGTAGTCAACCCAAGCGTAGCCTCGGGCTCGGCTTTCCTGGGAGCGCTGGTGGTTCGTGGGGCGGGCCCGCGCAGGGCCAACCTCTCTGCAACGAAGGTCACTCTTATGGTAGAGGGGGGGGGGGGTACTCAAAAACCCTTTTTCTAAACGAATAAAGCCCTAAACAGCCCTTAATTCTAATGCAGATGGCCGGGACTTACTTTGGGTTTCGAGGGCATGTGGGGCTTTTGAAGGGCTTCTGGGGGGGCGTTACTTACTAGGGCTTCGGGAGGTCAGCCGAAGTTTAAGACTCAGCATGGGTACTTATAACCACAGTTGTAAGTCTACTTATAACCTACTTAGGGGACTGAGGGGGCTTACAAGTACAGTTGCAACTAGTGTCTCTCTTCACTTTAATAATACTATTTTACGGGCGAACTAGCGAGCGAATTATGGCCCTTAAAGTAGTATAATATTGGGCCCGTTAATCATATGCTCGCGAACTAGCCCATGCGTGTGAACGAATTCGCTACATAATTTCGTGCGTCTTTCATTCATGTCATTCATTCATTCCTTACAAACTATTTGCTCTTTATTCACACGTTCACTGAAACCCATACCTCTGAACGATTCGAAGCCCCTTGGCTTCCGAAGCTGGCAGGGTTTAGGATTTAGGGTTTAGGGTTTAGGATTTAGGGTTTAGGGTTTAGAGGAAGACCTCGAACCCTCACCCTAAGCCGAACAGCTAAAGCCTAAATCCCCATTCGAGACCAACCCCAAAATACCCAAATCTCGAGCCACAGGGCCATTCGCAACATCCCCGAGAAGCATCCCAAAGGTGCCCAGCTAAGAAAGGTTAAACGGAATCGTTGATGGCTTTTGATTTCCTTCTGGGGCTCCAATAAACTTCGCGAAGGGAGCAGAGCAAGGGCACTACTCAGATCACTGGGCGTGCCGGCCCAGCCGCAGGCGCGGAGCTCTGGACCTGGGTTTCGACCTGGGCAGGAGCGGTACCCTAAACCCTAAACCCTAAACCCTATTTTGGCCCACATGGGCACAGTAGACTGGAAGTCGCAGCATGCTGGGCATTACACGGGTGGCGCCCGAGAAAACGGCCGACTCAGCCGACTCTGTTGCCACGGTTAACGGTTAAGGTTTGGGGTTTATGTTTTAGTGTTTAGGGTTCAGAGTTCAGGGTTTAGGGTTTAGGGTTTAGGGTTTAGGGTTTAGGGTTTAGGGTTTAGGGCCCCGCCGGATAATCAAGGCAGCACGCTGCCCCGGCTGCCCCGGCTGCACCCCCAGGCCCCAAGACCAGTTTATGCGAGAGCACACCCTTAACCCTAAACCCCTAAACCCCTAACCCCTTTTACAACCAGGTCTGCACAGCTGCCCCCTAAACCCCTAAACCCCTACACCCCTAAACCCCTAAACCCCTAAACCCCTAAACCCCTAAACCCCTAAACCCCTAAACCCCTAAACCCTAAACCTAAACACCACGGAATATGCCCTGACGTATTCGCCTAAGGTGAGTGATCGACCTGTTTTGGGGAGTGGGGATGTGGGGAAGATAGCAGGTTGTTTGCTTGCTGCCAGAACTGGGGCGCCCCGCAGTGCCCTACATAAACTACTCATGGTCCGCCACGTGCACATGCTGAGACTGGGGGGAAACTGGAAGAGCTTTGCTGGGAAAACCTCCTAAGGCCTAGTCTTCTGACCTCTTCAAGGAGAACGGCCCGGCACTCTTTACTTGGCGTGTTGTAAGATCGGCTGTCGCGGCAAGGACTAGCAGGCGCGTTCCTTGAACTTGCTTGGCAGTAGCGCTAGGCATATGCCGTAGGAAACGCACTTGCACCCTAAACCCTAAACCCTAAACCCTAAACCCTAAACCCTAAACCCTAAACCCTAAAAAAACTAGTGCAAGACGCCACATAAGCCACGGCCCCCGGCTAGCTGCTCAGATCGTGTGGCCCTGGAAGCTCCAATCGTCGCACTTGGACTCTTCCAGCATCTTCCAAAACGTACTCTCCCATTCTCCGGTCTCTTCGTTCTTCTCCTTGATCCACAGGGCCACCTGCATCATGCGGCGGGGAATGTCCCAATCACTCCACAGTGACTCAACGGTCTCGTCATCATCACGTGGCCGGGAAGTCTTGTTGAACAAAGGCCCCCAGGCGTCCTTGTCCTTGCAGACCAGCTCGATCTGCTCTAGGGAGTACTCCGGCTTCCACTCCTGTACCTTCTGACGGATCTCGCCGATCGTGGTCTCAGCCGTCACCGGCACAGCGAACATCCCGAGTGTGGTCAGCACCTTGACTTCGGGCACGTGGTCCTGGTCTCGCTCAGCAATCTCAGCGGCACCCTTCTTGATGAGGCCACCCTTCTCATCCCAAATCTCACGGTCGGGCGCCGTGTTCTCCGTGAAGATGACTTCCTGCCCCTCCTCTTCCGCCATGCCGACGAGTGTCTAGTCGGTGGACAGCACTTGAGTCACAAACGGGGCTGCGAGACAGCAACACACGTGGCTGCACACTTGCTCTAACATGGCCACTGAGCACATGACCTGCAAAAAACACATGTCACTGACACTACGGCTAGAAACACGCCGGCAGACACGACCCAAGAAAGGCCCAGCAAGATCGCGCCGCATGTTTTTTGAAACTGCTTGTTTGTAAAGCCGGTCTTCTGCCGCAGGTGGAGCTCGAAGAAGAAGACAGGAGACGAGTAAGATTTGATCAAGAAATACGTACTATGCAGAAGGCAAAGGCTAGTGAACCCCTGCTCAGATCGTGTGGCCCTGGAAGCTCCAATCGTCGCACTTGGACTCTTCCAGCATCTTCCAAAACGTACTCTCCCATTCTCCTGTCTCTTCGTTCTTCTCCTTGATCCACAGGGCCACCTGCATCATGCGGCGGGGAATGTCCCAATCACTCCACAGTGACTCAACGGTCTCGTCATCATCACGTGGCCGGGAAGTCTTGTTGAACAAAGGCCCCAGGCGTCCTTGTCCTTGCAGACCAGCTCGATCTGCTCTAGGGAGTACTCCGGCTTCCACTCCTGTACCTTCTGACGGATCTCGCCGATCGTGGTCTCAGCCGTCACCGGCACAGCGAACATCCCGAGTGTGGTCAGCACCTTGACTTCGGGCACGTGGTCCTGGTCTCGCTCAGCAATCTCAGCGGCACCCTTCTTGATGAGGCCACCCTTCTCATCCCAAATCTCACGGTCGGGCGCCGTGTTCTCCGTGAAGATGACTTCCTGCCCCTCCTCTTCCGCCATGCCGACGAGTGTCTAGTCGGTGGACAGCACTTGAGTCACAAACGGGGCTGCGAGACAGCAACACACGTGGCTGCACACTTGCTCTAACATGGCCACTGAGCACATGACCTGCAAAAAACACATGTCACTGACACTACGGCTAGAAACACGCCGCAGACACGACCCAAGAAAGGCCCAGCAAGATCGCGCCGCATGCTTTTTGAAACTGCCTGTTTGTAAAGCCGGTCTTCTGCCGCAGGTGGAGCTCGAAGAAGAAGACAGGAGACGAGTAAGATTTGATCAAGAAATACGTACTATGCAGAAGGCAAAGGCTAGTGAACCCCTGCTCAGATCGTGTGGCCCTGGAAGCTCCAATCGTCGCACTTGGACTCTTCCAGCATCTTCCAAAACGTACTCTCCCATTCTCCGGTCTCTTCGTTCTTCTCCTTGATCCACAGGGCCACCTGCATCATGCGGCGGGGAATGTCCCAATCACTCCACAGTGACTCAACGGTCTCGTCATCATCACGTGGCCGGGAAGTCTTGTTGAACAAAGGCCCCCAGGCGTCCTTGTCCTTGCAGACCAGCTCGATCTGCTCTAGGGAGTACTCCGGCTTCCACTCCTGTACCTTCTGACGGATCTCGCCGATCGTGGTCTCAGCCGTCACCGGCACAGCGAACATCCCGAGTGTGGTCAGCACCTTGACTTCGGGCACGTGGTCCTGGTCTCGCTCAGCAATCTCAGCGGCACCCTTCTTGATGAGGCCACCCTTCTCATCCCAAATCTCACGGTCGGGCGCCGTGTTCTCCGTGAAGATGACTTCCTGCCCCTCCTCTTCCGCCATGCCGACGAGTGTCTAGTCGGTGGACAGCACTTGAGTCACAAACGGGGCTGCGAGACAGCAACACACGTGGCTGCACACTTGCTCTAACATGGCCACTGAGCACATGACCTGCAAAAAACACATGTCACTGACACTACGGCTAGAAACACGCCGGCAGACACGACCCAAGAAAGGCCCAGCAAGATCGCGCCGCATGTTTTTTGAAACTGCTTGTTTGTAAAGCCGGTCTTCTGCCGCAGGTGGAGCTCGAAGAAGAAGACAGGAGACGAGTAAGATTTGATCAAGAAATACGTACTATGCAGAAGGCAAAGGCTAGTGAACCCCTGCTCAGATCGTGTGGCCCTGGAAGCTCCAATCGTCGCACTTGGACTCTTCCAGCATCTTCCAAAACGTACTCTCCCATTCTCCGGTCTCTTCGTTCTTCTCCTTGATCCACAGGGCCACCTGCATCATGCGGCGGGGAATGTCCCAATCACTCCACAGTGACTCAACGGTCTCGTCATCATCACGTGGCCGGGAAGTCTTGTTGAACAAAGGCCCCCAGGCGTCCTTGTCCTTGCAGACCAGCTCGATCTGCTCTAGGGAGTACTCCGGCTTCCACTCCTGTACCTTCTGACGGATCTCGCCGATCGTGGTCTCAGCCGTCACCGGCACAGCGAACATCCCGAGTGTGGTCAGCACCTTGACTTCGGGCACGTGGTCCTGGTCTCGCTCAGCAATCTCAGCGGCACCCTTCTTGATGAGGCCACCCTTCTCATCCCAAATCTCACGGTCGGGCGCCGTGTTCTCCGTGAAGATGACTTCCTGCCCCTCCTCTTCCGCCATGCCGACGAGTGTCTAGTCGGTGGACAGCACTTGAGTCATAAACGGGCCTCCCCTGCAGGACAATACTCACTCAGATCGAGGATGGTAGTTACAAGTAGGGACTGACATCAGGGCCCCTAGAAATGGGTACAGGTATAGAACCAAGCAGTAGACTTTGCCAGACCTTCCGAGGACCTGTCTAAAGCGGAACTCCCACTTGGAAGCCCTCTGGACTTAGTCAGTAGGGTTAGCAAGTTGGGTTATGGGGTTTCTGATACTTGGGGTTTTCTCGTACTAACTCACAAGGGCTTCCAAGCAATAACCCCATATCCATATGTATATATATATATATGGATATAAAGCCCACATAAACCTATATATATATATATATCCCTCAATATATGTGTGTATATATATATATATAACAACAACTCCCCTATGACACAAGCCCCCTTGAGATGCCGGCGACCGGCTGCTGCGTGGTCGCCAGCTCCTCACTCCTGGCCGTGGTCTGGGGTTTAGAGCTTTAAGGGTCCCAGGGACCCCAATACCCCTTACTTGAGTGGTTTAGGGTTGAGGGTTTAGGAATAGTCCTTAAACTATGACAGGGTTCCTTATATGGTTTAAGGACTACTCCTTCATTGAGGGGTATTAGAGTCTCTGGGGTATATGAGCCCTGAACCATAAGCCCAAGATGCCTCACCCTTGTAACGAAGGGCTTGGGCCTGTAGGCCTAGGGCCCAATATACCCTTTGCTTAAGGCACAGAGCTCTTTTTGTCCCCCATTAAAGACAGAGGTAATTCTTGGATGCTCTGGGAACAACAAGTAGGTGAGTCTTGCGGGGAGGCCTTGAGAGGCTTATTGTGAGGTTCTGCTTTTTCTGCCTAAACCATAAACCCAAAAACCCTAAAACCTAAACCCTACATTGTCGGCCTCCCTCCTACATGGCTTGGGGCAACCCTAAGCCCCAAACCCAGGGACTCCAATAAATAGAGCAGGGTTCCTTAACCCTAAACCCTAAACCCTAATATTCCTTCCTTAAGGAATAGTGGAGTCTCTGGGAACCCTCAACACGAGGGTGGCTGAGGCCTTTCTCTTTCTAAGGATGGAATGGGGAGACCTTGCGAAATTAATTTGGGGGGGGGGGGGGGGGGGGGGGCAATTTGGCTCATGTTGGGATGTTCCCCAGTATAACAACATGAACAGGGATTCTAGTAGGGGGTACTAGAATCCCCACTATAAGGACTGTAAGTATAAGGGGGAACATCCCAAGGCTCATGCACAGCGGCTGTAGAGCGGGAACTGATAGGCCTCCCCTTGGACGCAATGACACCCTTTCCTTCCTCCCCTTGTGTTCCACTCCACCCATGTGAGGACATGCAGTTGCTTTCGGTGTTGTTTCCCCAAATAGGGGGGACCCGTTGTCTACCCCAGATAGAGTAGAAGCCGTTAAATTACAAGAAAACCTAAAAGAGTATCCCTATTTTCGGAAAGCCCTTCCTGGGTTTTCTCTTACAAGCAATCATCTTGTACACTTAACTACCCTGATGCCTGGGCCTTGTGGCAGGCATCAGCAGTCATGAGTCATGCCCTAATCCCTAAACCCTACACCCTAGCCCTAAATCAACAAACCTACAAGGATCTCAAAAAAACCAAAACACGTCCCACGGGCCTCCTCTCCAAAGCCTCCGTGATCTCGGAGACCTTTGAGGGCAAGGTAGAGCCTAGCGCCCCTAAACCCTACAGTACACTGTTAGGGTTAGGGTTGAATTAGGGTTTAGGTTTACAGTAAAATTCCAAAAAGTTGGAACATCCTTATCCCCATACCCCAAAAAGGTATACGAAAGGGAATGCCAGCTCTAATCATTCCTAAACCCCTGTTCCAACTTTCTGGAGCTTACTGCAAGTAAACCCTAAGAACTCTACCTTCAACTATAGTCTAAGGGTAGCTTTCACGGTCCCTCAGTATGGTCCCTTGCCTTCGGGTTCTGAAGTCTGGGTTTCTTGGGGTGTTTAGGGTATATTGGGGGGGTATAGTAATCCATATCCTAAACCCTAAACCCTAAACCCTAAACCCTAAACCCTAAACCCTAAACCCTAAACCCTAAACCCTAAACCCTAAACCCTAAACCCTAAATCCTAAACCCTAAACCCTAAACCCTAAACCCTAAACCCTAAACCCTAAACCCTAAACCCTAAACCCTAAACCCTAAACCCCAACCCCAACCCCTAGGCCTAAAACCCTTGCGGCACCCTGAGGGGCTCCTTAAAAAGGCTTGCCGTTCCACGCACCCTCGAGCCGCCGGCCCTGTCTTGCAAGTTGGAGATCTCTGACTTGAGGAACATAATCTCCTCCTTTCCGAGACTGTGCAGCAACTTTGACTCTCAGGGTTTAAGGGTGGGGGGGGGGGGGTGTGCAGAGGTGCATATTTTAGGGAAGGCTCGCACTCCCAGCAGCCCTCCCTAGACCCTGCATCTTCACGTTCGGCTTGCCTCTGCCCCCCCCCACCCCCCCCCCGCGGTTCGTGGTGGCTGAAAGTTAGGGCGGGGAATACTATGGGGATGGGGGAGGGGGGTTTTAGGTTAGGGAATCTTCCTTAACCCTAAACTACTATTTGCTTCAGAACCCCCCGAAAAACATCTTCCTTTAACAAGGGTAGCATACAGGGATTAACATCTTTTCCTGTTTGGGATTCTTAAGCAAATTATCGTAAACCCCTAAACTCTTGACAGTGTGAAACCCGAAACCCTAAACCCTAAACCCTAATCCCCAATCCCCAAACCCTAAACCCTAAACCGACAGTATGGGACTCCCGAGGGTTGAAGGCGGTTGTGGTTTTGCGGGGCGGCAGCTTGGCCTCCTGCCGCTTGTCCAGCAGGTCCTGGCGGGTGACGCGAAGCCCCCTAAACCCCGAACCTAAATCCTAAACCCTAAACCCTAAACCCTAAACCCTTAACCCTAACTAAACCCGCGCTTTAGGGTGTAAGACTTACGATCAGGCCACATCTCACAGAGCCCGAATCTTGGCAAAGGCTGGAACCCAGGCTCTGGGCATCAACCCCACATCCTAAACTCCAAACCCGCCCAAAGGACCCCTAAACCCTAAACCCTAAACTACCCTAAACCCCAGAAAGGCACGGATGCCCTGGTCCTTCTCGTCGGTCGCTGCTTCCGTGGTCGTTGCCGTCTCCAGCACCTTCAGAGACCCCAGAATCCCCCGAATTCAGCTTGGGGTTTAGGGTTTAGGGTTTAGGGTTTAGGGTTTAGGGTTTAGGGTTTAGGGTTCAGGGTTCCCCGAATTCAGCTTGAGGTTTAGGGTGTCCACCAAGGGTTTGGGGTTTAGGGTTTAGGCTTTAGGGTTTAGGGTTTAGGGTTTAGGGTTCAGGGTTCCCCGAATTCAGCTTGAGGTTTAGGGTGTCCAGGGTTTAGGGTTTTTGGGTCTAAGGTTTAGGGCCTTCCTGAATTCAGGGCTGTTCATCAATCCCAGAGAGCTCCCTACCACTCGACTCACCTTTAACCATACAGGGATCCTTGCTCCGGCTCAACGGTATAGATGGCAAGGGCTATTGCGCTCTTTGGGGTCCTACTCGGATCCCAAAATACCCCTTCAGCTCCATGTAAGAAATATTCCTGAAGTAAGGGAGCATCAGATCAGACATCTATATTGGCAGCTGTCTTTAACTTCGAGTCCCTTCTAGGGTTTAGGGTTTAGGGTTTAGGCGGTTTAGGGTATAGGGTTTAGGATTTAGGGTTTAGGGTTTAGGGTTAGTTTAGGGTTGTGGATTTCGGGTGCAGGGCAAGAATTCCACACAAGTCTCCTGAAGTTACGACCCAAGCAGCTTCTGCACGAGCTGGGCCCGCTGGCGTAAATTTAGGGGTGGGGGGGGGGGGGGGGGGCCTCATACAACTAATGTCATAGGGAACATGTGGCTCGAGAGGGGCTGGAACCCATAAGACATTGAGCTCCAAAAGGGAGCCCCAGTAGAATCCCAAAAGCCTGTCGCGTCACGTGGCCTTTTCGCCCCTGCATTTCGTCTCGCGGCTGCTCATGTTCGACAGTCTTGCGGTTTAGGGTTTAGGGTTAGGGTTTAGGGTTGGGGTTTAGGGTTTAAGGGTCTTAGGGTTAAGGGGCTCTCGATCTCTGAAGCTCCAAAACGAAACCTTGGCGGCTCCACGTCAGCCCTTCTCACCCTAAACACTGAACCCTAAACCCTTTGTTCAATGAGGGCTCTCTCTCAAGTCCCTAAACCTGACACCCTAAACCCAAGATCCTCTCAGAGGCGACTCCGGCGATCATCCAGCAGGTCCTCGGAGCATTCCTGAATCGCTGTGGGCTCGGGGTTCAGGCGGATTAAGCACCCCCTAAATCCCGAAAAAAACCCAAAAAAACCCTTAAGCGCACACACACACACACACACACACTCTCTCCTCAGCCCCTAACAAAACCCCAAAACAACCTTTAAAAAAGCCACCTGCCAAACCCTCCAAGAACCCTGAAGAAAGACCTGCAAAGAACCCGAAGCCCGAGTTCAAAGAGTCTGAAGTGCCGAAGCCCTTCGAGCTTGGCGTTTAGGAACCAGAGACTCCAATACTCGGGTTTGGGGTTTAGGGAGGTTTGGAGGAATATTTCCTTAAAGGGCCGAAAGGGGCTTCGAGCTTTGAGTTTCCAGGACTTGCAGGGCTTTGGATTAACCCTAAACCCGAAACCCTAAACCCTACACCTTAAACCCTAAACCCTAAACCCCAAATCCTAAACCCTAAACCCTAAACCCTAAACCAGCTCAGCTGCTCTGGCGATGCCGTGCTGGCGCAGGATGTCGGCGCCCGAGCGGCCGCACTGCGCCACGTCCAGCACGACTTCCGCGCTGTCTGGGCATGCAGTTGGAATGAAGCAAAAGGCTTCGGTTTAGGGCTTGGGGTTTGGGATTTAGGGTTTAGGGTTTGGGGTTTAGGGTTTAGGGTTTAAAGCAGTTTCCTAATAGCCAGCCCGCTGGCGCATAGCTCATTACATGTCCGCATTGGCCTGCTCGCACAATCCGGAAACTTATTCTTGGTGTAGGTTGTTATGACAAACAACACATAGAGGATTCGTCGGAAATCTACAAACCCTAAACCCCAAACCATTCAAGGCGCTGAATTCGAAGCGAAGGAAAGCCGGGCGTTCCGCTTCCACAGCACCTGCCGCAACCCAGCGTAGGGTTTAGGGTTTCGTTCTACCGACTGAGCCCAGTCCAATACCCTTCCCGAACCCTGTATATTTCAAGGCTTTGGGCTCTCTGGGTACCCCTATGAAAAAACATACGTACATTGGACGTAAATGTGCACATAGCGTGCGCACAAACATCTGCAGAGTGCAAGATTTAACCCCTAGCCTACTCAGCGACTCCGTAGCACTGTGGGCTCTGGAGTTGACATAAAAGTCTCGCCATGTCTCAACACCAGGGTTTACAACAGGGCGGGTTCAGTGTTCAGGGTTTAGGGCTTTAGGGCTTTTGAGTTTTGTTTATGCCGCCCACCAAACAGACCAGTCGCACTGCAGGGTAAGAACTTCGGGGACTCCAAAAGCAGCGGAACAGACCCGGAATCCAATCACAGGGCCAATCTGCATCCTCAAGATCGCTAACCATCCCTTCTGCCAACTGCATGCAATGCAGTGGCGTAGGCATATAGCAACTCGTTGAGCCACAGCATGAGGGTTCAGGGTTTAGGGTTTAGGGTTTAGGGTTTCGGGTTTCGGGTTTCGGGTTTAGGGTTTAGGGTTTAGGGTTTAGTGCTCAGGACTTGGGGTCGAGGGTGTCGAGCTTAAAGGTTCTGAGAACCTTGAATCTCGCTAGGCTTGCTGGAACCCAGGGCCCCTGTAAGGGTTAGGGTTTAGGGTTTAGGGTTTAGGGTTTAGGGTTTAGGGTTTAGGGTTTAGGGTTTAGGTTTTAGGGTTTAGGGTTTAGGGTTTAGGGTTTAGGGTTTAGGGTTTAGGCTTTAGGCTTTAGGGTTTAGGGTTTAGGGTTTAGGGTTTAGGGTTTAGGGTTTAGGGTTTAGGGTTTAGGGTTTAGGGTACAAGCTGAGGCGCCTAGTGCCAAACGCGTGAAGTCGTAGAGCTGCTTCAGGTTCCTTATCTGGGTTAAGGGTTTTGGGTTTAGGGTTTAGGGTTTAGGGTCTAAGGTTTAGGGTGCACGCAGCACGCTCACTGGGGTTTGGGGTTTCGGGGTTTGGGGACTGGGACCAAAATCCCGTTTAGAAAGATACTTGAGTCAGAAGACCGATCCCTAAACCCTGAACCCTAAACCCTAAACCCTAAACCCGAAGCCCTAAACCCGAAGCCCTAAACCCTGTGCAGTTTCCAGTTTGAGGCCGCTTCCTTAGCTAAGGGGCATCGCCCTGGACACCACCACCACAACGACCAACATGAAACGTAAGCAGCATGGGTCGTTAGAAGTCAAAATGCTTTTCGCCCTGCCTATAAGGACCCCTAAACCCTGTAAACCACAAAAAAAAACCTAAACCCTTATAAACCCTAAAACCCTAAAACCCTAAACCCTAAACCCTAAACTTCCAGGCGTCGTAGCGGTCTGGCTGGGCTCCGAGCTGCCTCGGGGGGGCGCACTGATGGAGTTGAGGGAACGAAGCCCTCGAAGGAACCATTTGCTTGCTTTTGGGGTTTAGGAGTTTAGGAGTTTCGGGTTTCGGGTTTAGGGTTTAGGGTTTAGGATTCTTACTTGGGATGCTTCCCCCTTATACTGACAGTCTTTAATCGGGATTATAGTCGGGGTACTATAACCCTTCTTTAAGAGTCCAAAACCTACCTGGGGGTTGCCCGAATTCGGGGCACCTTATTGGGGTCCTTATTCTAAGGGACTCCTTCTATTCGGGGGTATATATATATATATATATATATATTTGGGCCCCTTGTTATCGTAAACCTCCACCTTTTTTTGGCAGGTTGTTACTATAGAACCTGTTCTGGGAGTCTTAGGCAACCAACAAAAAATAAGCTTGGGGTTCTTAAGGTTTGCCTCAACATGGTGTTAGGGTTCAGGGTCTAGGGTGTAGGGTCTAGGGCAGGCCCTTGGGACTGTTTGTATGTTGCCTTCTTGGGCTGAATTTTGATGAATCTTGCTATTAGGGTTTGTTTAGGGAGTATCTTGTTGTTTGTCCAGTGGGTTGAAGGGGCCGGCCTAGCATGCTGACCTTATAACATGCCCTAAACACCTAAACCCTAAACCCTAAACCCCAACCTGTTTTAAGAGCATGACTCTTGCTGAGGAAGAGCTTTCAAGGAGGCTTTGAATGGCCAGCCCAGCAACTCTACCCTACTTGAAGGTTCAGGGGTAAAGTAGGGTTAATCACCCTGTGGGTGGCTGTCAAAATTACTATCCCTGTTGGGGTACCCTAAACATTAGGTTCCGTATTATAATAGGAATCCAAAAAGGGACCATAGTTTTGACAACCACCCATATGTAGATCTACCGTAATGGTAACCCTGCGTCTAACTCGCCATGAACCTCCAGGTGCAGCACCCTCAGCTCTAAAAGCCCTGTAGAAGAAGCCCGGAGGTGGCTACTAAGTCATTTAGGGTTTAGGGTTTAGGGTTTAGGGTTTAGGGTTTAGGGTTTAGGGTAAGCCCATGTCCCAACCTGACCCCCTTGAACCAGGAGCTGTGGCAGATGCCTGGGAGTAAAACCCTAAACCCTTTCCCCTGAACTCTAAACCCTACACCCTAAGCCCTAAGCCCTAAGCCCTATACCGAGGTTGAGTTCAGTCCAGGGGTTTGGGGTTTAGGGTTTAGGGTTTAGGGTGTAGGGTGTAGGGTTTAGGGTTTAGGGTTTTGGGTTTAGGGTTTAGGGTTTAGGGTTTAGGGTTTAGGGCGATTCTTCCACCGGCCTGTGGGGTGCAACTGTACATGCGGGCAGCCGGATCTTTCAGGGTGGCCACACTTGGAGGTTCATGGGAATTGGTAAGTGATTAACCCCAAAATGGGTTATAAGTATCGTTGCAATGTGGGGTTAACTATAGTTACCGTACTACTAATTATAACCCTACTTCGAACTACCCATGAACCTCCAAGCATGCACACACATCGGCCCGTCACACGGCCTTGCAAGGGCTGTGCGCCCTCGTCAGGCCCCAGGGAACCCTTCAAAGCCCTAATGGTTTACAGCCTCCTTTCGCCCTAAACCCTAAATTCCGTGTTTGCCCTAATCCCTGACATACAAAACCCTATAGACCAACCCAACTCCTGCTTCGGTTTCCCCCCACCGGCCCACCGGTGCCCTCAATCCATGGCGCGGACGGTGAGGCCTTCGCGAGTGACCGGGCTTGCTCGGGCCCGACGCGACGCCTCCATGCGTTCCTGGGCGTAGGCCGGCCCGCCGGCCAGGAACTGCTCGATGCTGAGCCTGGGGGATGTGTGGAAACTAGGCCAGACAAGGGCTTGGTAGCCCAGCAAGCATGTTGTCATAAGGGTACCCGTTTTTGGCTGGTTTCTTTAAAACTATTAAGGGAACCCAGAACCAAAACGAGGGCCCAGAGGGAGATCAAGTCCGCGCCCGGGGGGGGTGTGGAAGCCTCATTGTGCTACAACCTAAACACTTTTTTGAGCAACCCTAAACCCTAAACCCGAAACCCTAAACCCTACAAGGAATTCGGGGCGGGCTCAGGAGTCTCTAGGAGTGGAGGGATGATTTAGGGTGTAGTCCGGAAAAAAAAGCGCTTGCCACAGCGAACTATGCGATGTTCCCCGATGATCGAGGAATCCAAAAAAAGTGCCTCTTGCTGTTATGATCCTAACTGAAGAAACAAAAGGACTAAAATTCACTGGACATCCTGCTTCTCGTAGGCAGATCCTAGGAGCTGGGCGTGCTTGGGCAACTTGCTGGCCAGCCCGCCAGGGGCGCGGACTGCCCTGCGAACCATCCAGCGCGCCTCTTACAAGCCCAGTAATCATATTGTAATAAGGGCACCCTCTTTTTTTGGGTTGGTCACTTTATAAGGGAACCCTATTGTAATAAGGGCACGCGCTTTTTTGATTGGTTACTTTATAAGGGAGCCCTATTGTAGCAAGGGCACCTTTTTTTTCGTTGGTCACTTTATAAGGGAACCCAGAACCACAAAAAAAGGGTGAAGGGTACCACTGGGCATCCACTGGGCTACCAAGGCCTTGTCCGCGTAGTTCACGCACACGCGGTCGCTGCAAGGCACCTCAGGAGGGAGGGAGTCCTCGAGGACGAAGAAGGCCACCACAAGCCGCCGGCCACCACAAGCCGCCGCCCCTGTGCGAAGAGCCGTCATGCGATGGTAGGCTGCATGGTTGTCGAACACTATGGCTGTTCCAGCTGTCACAGGAATGGTCTTCGACTGCGGAACCTGCGAGCCGCAGCCACCGGTCATCACAACGGTGATCTCAAGGTCACCGCCCTCCACCGTATCATCGACAAGCGGATAGTAGAGGCCAACCATCTGAATCCGATCGTCCGGGGTTCCCTCCTGATGGATCTCACCGAGGATCTCTTCGCCGCTACACACTTCATACACCTGGGCCTTCACCAGCACCTTGGACTGTAACCCCAGCGGCTGCCAAAACACCGCCGAGGGAAAGGCGGCGTTGCCTCCAGATCCACAGTGGACCCGTGGGGTCAGCTGCGCAAAGAGTGGCTGCATGGCCGTGAGGAGCTCACCCAGGCGCTGGTAGAGCGGGCTGGACAGCGTGCGTGGCCCCAGCCACGGGATGCCGCTCACTTCGCTGGCAAAGCGAAGAGCACCTGGCTCCGGGGCCTCCTCCAGCACGGCGGGGAGCCATCGGGGTGCGCCGGCCGAGGAGGGCCTCGGCCGCCTCCTCGCGGCGGCGGAGTTGGGGATTCTGGGGATGTTCCAGGCATCGAGCCCTTGGTCCTGAAGCTTTGGTGCCTTTGGCGGTGGAAAGAAGGTCTCATCGCTGCACATGGGGTCGGTGCTGGCCCGGCTGGGGTCGATGATGTCCAGGATGCGACCCCCTACGACCCTGATCTCCTTCACTGAGAACTCGAAAAAGGATGTCTGGGCTTGGAATTCAACATCGTCAGATCTAAAAGCAATTCGTCCCGGAGCATCCGGCAGCATCTCCTCAATCTTCAGAACCTGCTGAAGCTCCTGGGCAAGATTACAGGAGTCGAGTTGCCGTTTCAAGGCCTCCGCACTCTCTGCACTCTGAGTACGGATAGCAACCCAACAGCAGGCGCTCTCGTGTCCCCTGTGTCGTACAGTGGTTGTCTCCCAGCAGATGTGGCATGCATCAGGCGAGACCCCCCGTTTCGCAAGGATGGGGAGGAGCGCATCCTGGACGACCGAGGGGACGAGGACGTAGTCATGCACAATGCCACCCACCATGAGAAGCTGCAGAACGAGCTGGAGCACGCCACAGCCCGGATGAGCTTCCGTCCCTAACGCGGCCGCTGCCTCAGGCATGCGCAGCCCCGTCACGCGGAGGTCCCGGATGTCCCCCTTCTTCCGGGGGTCTGCGGCGAGGGCTTGCAGGAAACCTCTCTGACAGAGCAAAACAATTTTCAAGCTAATTACACAGGCAGATCTCGCTTGGGGGGGGGGGGGGGGCTTCTGTCGGGGGGGGGAGTCGCGTGGAAGACAGATGTCGCTTCAAAGGGGGGGTGGGGGGCTCGGGTGGGAGAAAAGGAGGGGCAAAGCTCAGACCGCGGACACATGACAAGGCCTGGCATACACGACTGAGGGCCCGGCGCGACAGGTCCTGCTGGCACCCAGCCGGGAGCGAGAGCTGGGATGCCACGGCCACTGGCTTCACCGACTGCACGGTGGTGTTCGGGTTGAGCCGGATCTCCGTCAGTCGCTCGGACCACGCCAGCTCGGAGCGACGCCCGAATCGCTCGTTGCTGCCCTCCTGGTGGACCACCGCATGCAGCATGCTGAGGCCGTCGACTGCCGGGCTCGCCTCTGCCTCTGAGCTCTGCATGGCCTTGAGGTGGGCTCCCATGGCGGCGAACATCTTTGAAACTGACCGAATGCTTGCGGAGAGTGGACCAGATGGAGCATCCACCTTCCTTGCGTCTGACACCCTCAACCCGAAAACGCACGAACTGAAATCCTGATATCCGGGCACAGTTGCACAGACATTCTGGACCCTAAACCCTCAACCCTAACAATCCCCTCCAAGGTCCGGCCAAGCGGCTCCCGAAGCTCAGCAGTTCCAGGCACTGGAAGTCCTGTGCTTGGAGGTTGATTTGGGTGCTTAGAAGTAGGGTTTGGGGTTCAGGGTTTAGGGTTAGAATAGCATGGTACCTGTACTTGTGGCCCCATTTAGGGTACTTACAACCCTACTGATAGGTACCCATGAAACAAGTGGGGGTCTGCCACCCGCCTAGCTGGCCCGAGGTTGACATGGGGTTTGGGGATGAGGGCCCCTTATGTTTGTATTTAGACGGAGCACAATTGTCGCAGGATGTCGCAGGACCGCACAAACCCTAAACCCTAAACCCTAAACCCTAAACCGTAAACCCTAAACCCTAAACCCTAAACCCTACCTCGCGGGCTCTTCCGAAACGAAGCCCAAAAGAGGAAGCCCCAAGGCCTACGCCTTGGAGGTTCATTAGTTAGAATTAGGGACCTAAGTATGGTTATACTTGTTTTAGGGCCTAGGGTTTAGGGTTTAGGGTTTAGGGTTTAGGGTTTAGGGTTTAGGGTTTAGGGTGTAGGGTACGATTATTACCCAGCTAACTACCCATCAACCCTATACTTATTTTAGGATACTGTTGTAACCCTGTCCTACAACCCTAAACCCTAGGCCCTTCTTTCTTGAACCTGTGCGTAACCCTAATTAGGCCCTAAACCGTTAAACCTTAAAATGGTGTAACTCCCCATACCCTCCTACTTGCTTTAGAACCCCAAAAGCACACAGCAATAATCCCTAGACTACCCTTTTAAGGAAGAGTTTTTCTTTGCGGGGGGAGGGGTTCTTAAGCAAACAGTAGTCCCCTGAGACTCCAATACTCCTTAATTAAGGAATCTCCCTTAAACCACAGAAGGAACCCTGTTATATTTCAAAAAATACCCCTGAACCCTAAACCCAAACCCCAAAACCCTAAACCCCAACCCTAAACCCTATACACTATTGGAGTTTCCTGAGGAAGAAAAATTGGAGTCCCTGGGTCTCCTCGTAGCCATAGTTCACCTCAGCCGCCAGCACTTTGGCCAGGACCACGACTTCCTGTGTCGCCCAGCTCAAGGGGGTTTAGGGTTTAGGGTTTAGGGCTTAGGGTTTAGGGTTTAGGGCAATTTAGGGTTTAGGGTTTAGGGTCTAGGGTCTAGGGTCTAGGGTTTAGGGTCTGGGGTTTAGGGTTTGGGGTTTAGGGTTTAGGGTTGAGGGTTGAGGGTCCCCCAAGCTCAAGGGGGCGCCGGCGCGCCCGAAAGGTCCCCGTCAAGACCCCACGCCCGAGGCGCGAAGCCCCTAAACCCTAAACCCTGAACCCTCAACCCTAAACCCTAAACCCTAAACCCGCTCAGGGCTCCGGTCCGAAAGCCCCAGCTCGCGCCTGGTCGGGAGAGGTCTTGTGCTCCTGGGCTTGGGTCTAGTTCAGGGTGTAGGGCTTAGGGTTTAGGGTTTAGGTTTAGGGTTTAGGGTTTAGGGTTTGGGGTTTCGGGGTTTGGGGTTTGAGGGTCAAGTTAGGGTGGGGGGGGGGGGGGGGGGGGTGGGCCTTCAAAACCTGGTTTAGGGCTTAGGGTTTAGGGTTTCGACTCTCGCACTCGCACAAGGCCGGCAAGGCTTCGGCTGGCATCGGGTTTAGGGTTTAGGGTTTAGGGTTTAGGGTTTAGGGTTTAGGGTTTAGGGTTTAGGGTTTAGGGTTTAGGGCTTAGGGCTTAGGGTTTAGGGTTTAGGGTTTAAGGCTTGCTCTAAGCCACTGTTTGGGCATGGGAAGGGTGGAAGATCAAAATTTTACATGAACACGAAAAAACGTGCACCCGACATGAAACGGCATCACTCAAAAACCATGGCTTCAAGAAAAAACTGATCTTAGATCTAATGGGCCTCATTGAAACCAATGCCGACCAATGTTTTTTAGCGGGCCCACATCTAGCCCGCACTTATTGTCTGGAACCTTGCCCAAACTACCTGTGGACATCCTTACTTGAAGGTTCATGGTACTTACTAACCAATGATAACTGTACATGGTACTTATAATACCCCTAAAGGGCCTTATAGGGGTTATCCCAATTCTAAGTAGGGCTATAAGTACAGTTATAAGTGGTTATTAAGTCCCATGAACCTCCAAGTAGTGGAAGCTGCCAAGAGGCCCAGAGCTTCGCCTGGAGCTCCGGCGGCGCCTTACGCACCTATGCGCAGTGGGGTGGTTTAGGGTTTAAGGTTTAGGGTTTGGGGTTTGGGGTTTGGGGTTTAGGGGTTTAGGGGTTTAGGGGCTTAGGGGTTTAGGGGTTTAGGGTTTAGGGTTTGTAGGGTTGATTGAGGGTTTGTAGGGGTTTAGGCTTTGTAGGGTTACCCTCTGTGGTTATATTTGTCGGGCTGAGGATGCTTTAGGGTTTTACCACCCGCCAAGCAGACCAGCCACACTGTACGGTAACACTTCGGGAGGGTGGAAGCTCTTGACACTTCTGCTTCTCATCGAATCACGACAACGGCAGCACCTGAACTCCGCCATGTGTTTAGGGTTTAGAGGTTTAGAGGGTTTAGAGTCTAGAGGGGTTGTAGGGTTTGGCCACTTATCTTAAACCCTGCCTACCCCCAGCCCCGGTATTAAATGTTTCGAGGGTTTTGGGACAAGGATCTGCAAGAGGGCTCCTGGTATAAGGAAGGCTTAGGGTCCTGGGGAAAACCACGTCGCGAACAGCCCCGCAGAGGGAATTGTTCGCCGAAACCCTTTTACCCTAAGCCCTGGCCTCTTTTCCTCAAACCCTAAACCTCAAACCCCCAACCCTCGACCCGGCTCAGACTCCAGGGGTGTCTCCGAGAGCTGCGGGACGTTACCCCGACCTTGTGTCATGTAGGAATGAAGCTTCCCTAAACCCTAAACCCTAAACCTGCTTAAGGCGAGGTCATACAGGCGTTCCGATTTGCCTCGCGGAATCGCGACAGCATCCAGGGCAGCGTGAGGCGAACAAACACCAAGCCTCTGGCGCTTCCAACCAGGGTATTTCCCAAAATAGAGTTTCGGGTTTTGAGTTTAGGGTTTAGGGTTCCTTTTCTACCCAAAAAAGAATAGAATCCCCTTAAAGGACCCCCCAAAAGGGTACCCCGATTTTCGGAAACCCTCACAAGGTTCTGGGCGTTTGAGGTTTGAGGTCTCCGGGTTTAAGGCCCACGCCCGAGAGAACTTGTGTTTTTTTTTGGAGCTCGGGATGTTGAGTCTTGTTGACCGAAGGCATTGGACCTTTGGGGTCATGAGATCCAGCACCAAACATCGTACATCAATCCCACTACCCTAAAAACACGCACCAATCACGAACCTGTCTGCAGTTCGTCCGAGGCCTGCACCTCTCCAAATTCTAAACCCTAAACCCCCCAAACCCCAAACCCCCTAAACCCACTAAACCCCCTAAACCTAAACCCCCTAAACTCCCTAAACCCCCTAAACCCCCTAAACCCCCTAACCCCCCTAAACCCCCTCAACCCCCTCAACCCCCTCAACCCGGTAAACCGGTAAACCCGGTAAACCCCCTAAACCCCCTAAACCCCCTAAACCCCCTAAACCCCCTAAACCCCCTAAACCCCCTAAACCCTAAGTTTAGGGTTGAGGGTTTAGGGTTTAGGGTTTAGGGTTTAGGGTTTAGGGTTTAGGGTTTAGGGTTTAGGGTTTAGGGTAGCAACTGCTACAAAGGAGGAGGGGGGAAGCAGTCCATGCCTCCCAGAATTAGGTAGGAAGGCTGCGCATCGCCACCTGCACAGACTTTTGGGGTTTAGGGTTTAGGGTTTAGGGTTTAGGGTTTAGGGTTTAGGGTTTAGGGTTTAGGGTTTAGGGTTTAGGGTTTAGGGTTTAGGGTTTAGGGTTTAGGGTTTAGAGCTTGCAGCGCAGGGTCATTAAGGGCACATACGTCAAACTCGAAAGATGAGTGTATGTTCCTTAACGAGGAAATCTTAGAGGGCTTACTGAGCTTTCCTGTTCTTTTGTATTCTCCAAGCCTAGGCCCGAAACCCTGCTTGCAGCCTTTGACCCGGAACCCTTTTACATCCAGACCCTTTTGCCTAAAACCCTAAAGCCCTGAATCACTGAGCATTACAATCGGGGAGACATGCCAGCAACTTTGGCGGCCGCAAAAAAACCCAAAGAGCCCAACAACGCCTCGCCCAAATCGGAATCACAATGAGGACCCCTATATGATTTCAGGCGTATTCCGTAATTAAGGGGATACTGGGCTCTCTGGGAACTAACTTACTAACTGATGGGATGGGACGCAATCGCGGGACGCTAGATGACTCAAGTTCTGCCAACAACATGGCCAAGGCATATTGGTGGTAACTATCGCTATCTAGTACTTAGGCTCCCGTATTAACAATTCTGGGGTTGGGGTCAGGAAAATGAAGTCGGTGACGCGCGCCATCTCTTCTGGGAACAAGCTTCCTTGCGTGGCAGCGCTCTGAGTGAGAGCGGGACGCGGGCAGCTACCAAAAGGAGGTTTACGAAAAGAAAGAGGCCCCGTATGTACTTCCTCAAATAGTCGGATTCCCTTATAAGAAGCGACCCGACAAGGCACCCTTGAGAAGCAGGATCAGCTTGCTGCTCGCTTCTCTACTTATAATAGGGGTTCATGGGTGGTTGTAGGCAGGGCCTGTCACGTGCCGTGATGGGCACGCCAGGCAGGCCAGAGAGCCGAGAGCAACGTGCTGGTGTTTGATGCGACTGTGGTATGGGGCTTAGGGTTTGGGGTTCGTTTAGGGCTTAGGGTTTAGGGTTTTAAGGGGTTAGGGTTTAGGGTTTAGGGTTTAGGTGCGACCCGGCTGTCGGCAAGTAGACGCGACGTGTTCTGTAATGTGCCCGCAGGCCGAGCGTTTTCAAGGAGCAGTCTGGAATAGTCTGGACAGCACGCAGGGATGTTGACACCTCAAGTGGCTCAGTGGTGCAGATTCTATAAAAATGCTCAAGAAAATTATGCTGTTCACCGTGGAACGACAACCTTTGTGCAAAGCCCCTTTGGCACAGCATACCCAGAAACTCCAATAACCCTTAATGAAGGAATATTCCTTAAACTTAAAGCATATAAGGAACCCTCTTATATGGTTCAAGGAATAGTCCTAACTGATGATGAGCTGTAAGGCACGAATAGTCCTAACTTAAGGGGTATTGGAGTCCCTGAGTAATGCTGATGATGAGCTGTAAGGCACATTCCGGAGAGAACACGAACCTTGGGAAGCAGCGGAAACCCCCAACCGCGAAACCCCAAACCTTTTTTTAAACCCGGGCTCTCTTGCGCCGGAACCCTCAACCCTAGGGTTTAGGTTTAGGGTTTAGGGTTTGGGGTTTAGGGTATAGGGTATAGGGTTGAGGGTTGAGGGTTTAGGGCCTCAACCCAAACCCCAGACCTTAAACCCTTTTTTGCTTCCGAGCGTCTCCACGTAGTCTGCTTGCAGCTTCAACTCGGCAGGAACTGCTCGGCGGTGGCTGTCCTGCTTTTCTTACTCGGGTTTAGGGTTACCTCTCTGCTGTTGCTTGAGAACCCTTCAGAAAACCAAAGTATTCCTCCGCATAAGGGCAAGATAGGGCTTTGTTTTTTTTTTGCCTTTTTATTGGGGGGGGTCTTAAGCCACTTCCCTGCCATCACTGAAACATGTGCGAAGGCCCAGGCATAACCTAGGAATAACCCGGGTGCCCTTCTTGGTGTAAAGGGGATTAGAAGGGAACCTAAACCCAAAAAGGGAATAAGGGCCTACTCTGGGTCCTAGTATCCCGAAACCGTAAACCCTAAACCCTTACAAAAGGCCCCAGCGAACCTCTTTTGCGCAGCCGAACTTGGGAATCGAGGCCCGAATACATCCAGGTGGTTCTCTAAATCAGGGTCCCCATTTTTGGGTCCTTTTTCATCTATGGCTAAACTTTCCTAGGCGCGCACAAGCCCTCTGCAGAGACTCCAATGCCCCTTAATGGCGGAATAGTCCTGAAACCATGTCAGGGACCCTCTTGCATGCTAAGGAATATCCCTCTAAACCCAAAACCCTAAACCCTGAACCCCAAATCCTAACTAAGGGGTATTGGAGTCCCTGGGTCGAAAAGCAGCGGCTCAGCTCTTGGATCCTATCGCCGGCTTCAGCGCCTTGGCAAACCTCAGCTCCCTCTGCTCACGCGGCTTCGAAGCTTACGGCTTCGGGCTTCGGGCTTCGGGCTTCGGGCTTCGGACTTACAGTGGGTGGACGAAATCTTGCACCACCTGTTCAAGCAACACCTCTGGCACCAACAGCGCAGAACCCTGCACCCCCACCCCCTTTTAACACTGCCAGGTGTTGCTTTCCAGGTGGTGCAAGACTTCGGTCATTGCAACAAGTCAGCGCCGAAGCCTGTCCAAAGCCAATGTTAAAAAGGGGGGTGCAGGGTTTTGGCCAGATGCATGGTTCAACAGCGGTGCAAGATTTCGTCCACCCACCGTAGGGTGTAGGGTTTAGGGCTTAGGGCAGATTTCCGCCACAAGCTGTGGGGGCAAACGCGTGCGACCTACCCTAAACCCTAAACCCTAAACCCTCAACCCTCAACCCTAAACCCTAAACCCCTAACTCGCGGATGCGGCTGGGAGGCTTGACGAGCCCGGCGACCACGGAATGAAAGCAAAAGCCGGCCATCAGCGAGGTGAGGGCGATCACCGTGAGGAACCTAGGGTTTAGGGTTTATAAGGGTTTAGCGTTTTAGGGTGTTTTCATTGGTTTCAGGCCTGAAAGAAAGTTCACGGTCGCTGACTCAGCACCTACACGGAGGTCAGATTCTGAGTGAATCCTACAAGTTTGCCAAATAAGCGAGGGGTCCCTAATCCCTTCAAAGGTTTTTATAAGGGGACATAAGGCACCTCGTTCCCATACATCCGTTAATTCGGAGATAGCTACTGACCCCGCAACTGGCGTCCTCATATGGTCTGATCTAAGGAATATTCTTTCATTAATTAGAAACCCTAAACCCTAATTAAACCCTAAACCCTAAACCCCAAACCCTAAACCCTAAACCCTACTGGCGATGGATCTCCTGAATGAGACCTGACGGGCTCCGCGGTGAGAAAACCAACCCGCCGCCGTTGCAAGCTGCTAGCATCCCTACCAGCCCCGGTTTAGGTTTTAGGGTTTAGGGTTTAGGGTTTAGGGCTTAGGGTTTAGGGTTTAGGGTTTAGGGTTTAGGGTTTAGGGTTTAGGGTTTAGCCCAAGACCCCTTAAGTAAGGAACTTACCTTAAACCATATCCAGATCCTTAGTATGATTTACGGTATATTCCGCAGAACGAGAAATTCAGGGGGCTCCTTGGGCCCCTTCTGTTGTTCTATCATTACATGATGTCGAAGCCCCCGCGTGAGTCATGATGACTTGGCTTTCGGTAGGAATTTGGAATGAATCGCCAGAACTTCTGTCCTGATAGGTGTATCCCCTCTGATTGGCGGGCTCATGGGTAATTCTGCGTGGGTTTATAAGATCCGTCGTAACCCTCCATATAACTTGCCATGTATCCCCTCTAGACCCGAGAACCCGAGCAGTTCATGGCTTCAGGAAAGTTCGGAACATCGACCACGGAAGAGTTAGGGTGTACAGGGTTTAAGAGGGTTTAGAGAGTTGTGGGTCCAGCGTTTTGACCTAAAATCGTGTTTGCCAGGGACTCTGGGTGTGTATGTGAGGGTGGTGAGGGGCGTGCATAAGCAACTCCAGGGGACAGGGCTGTGTAGCTCAGCGTGAAACCGATGCTGTGGCGCTCGTCCAAGAAGATGTGGGCCCATCTCGCCATGCTGGGGAAAACGACCACACCCAGGATGCTCACGTCATTGTAGCAGACGTAGAGAAAGGCGTAGAAGCCAAGCAGGTACGCCTTAGCTTAGGGCTGGGGGGGTTGTCGGGATGCAGCTAAACCAAGCTTTGCAACCTAGGGTTTGGGGTTTAGGGTTTGGGGCTTAGGGTTTAGGGTTTTGGGTTGGTGTGGTTCGGGTTTAGGGTCTTCAACGCGCCAAGGAACCAGCAGTGTCTCAAAAGAGCCCATAATGCCCCTCAACGAAGGCATATCCCTTCACACATACTCAAGATCCCTACACAGTTTATGGAGTATTCCTGGGTTAAGGGAGGTTTTAAGGGCTCTCTGGGAACCAGCAAATGTCCAGAAAAGCCCTTTTGCATCTGAGCCCAAATACCCTAGCCCAGTAACCATATTCTAATAAGGGCACCCTTTTTGGGCTTGGTTCCTTTATAAGGGAACCTTGAACCAAAAAAAGGGAAAAGAGTACCACTTGGCTACCAAGCCTTCACTCAGGGGCATACCGGACACTTTAGGTTACAGTGTAGAGCCACAGGATATAGAGAAGAGCGATATCCTGGGCCACTCACCCACAGCCTGAAGCCTAGGGTTTAGGGTTTAGGGTTGAGGGTTTAGGGTTTAGGGTATTCTGATCTTGCCGGCCAAAGGGGCACCCAAAGCGAAGTGTCCCAGGAGCTGAAGAACTGAACTTCCTCTGCTGGTGAAGCGTCGTTTCGGACTCTTCATTGGAACTAAACCCTAAACCCTAAGCCCTAAACCCTAAACCCTAAGTGGTACCCTGAGTAAGCCCTTGCAGAGGGGTGCCCAAACTCCAATAAGAGGGCTCCAAAAAAAGAAACTCCAATACCGAAGTATGGTAACTCTGCTTGTGACCCTATTTACGGTACTTATAGCCCTACTTACATAAACCCTAAAGCCTACTTATACTTGCCCCAAGCCCTAAACCCTAAACCCTGAACCAAAACCCTCTAACCCTATAACCCTAAACCTACGTACCCATGAACCTCCAAGCCCTAAACCCCAAACCTAAACCCTAAACCCCAAACCTAAACCCTAAACCCTCCTTATACTTGCCCATGAACCTCCAAGTAAGCCCTACTTAGGGCCACGCCGTTGGAGAACCCCGAGATGCCCAGAGACTCCATTAGCCCTTAAGTTGGGCAGAACCATCCAATAAGCTTGTTGCCCTAAACCCTAAACCCTAAGCCCTAAACCCTAAACCCTAAACCCTGAACCCTGAACCCTAAACCCTCAACCACCAGCCAACGCAAGCAGAACCTGTCCAACCCAGCCTTTCACCCCACGCCGAGGACTTAAGGAAGATTCCTTAAAACCATATAAACCAGAAAAGGATTCCTACTCGATCTTAACGAAGATTCCTTAAACCATATAAACCGTATAAGGATTCCGACTCTATCTTAAGGAGTATTCCGTAATGATAACCCTACTTACAACTACCCAATGAACCTCCAAGCACGGTTGCCGAGTTCAGGCTCGTGGTGGTTTAGGGTTGACCTGGGACTCTATTTGCCTACAGTGTCGTAGCAACTACCCCAGAAAGCCCAATACCCCTTAACTAAGGAATATACCTTACATGATAGTAAGGATCGCTGTATGGTTTCAGGTATATTCCTTATTTCAGGGGTCTCGGGATCTTTGGGGTACCCCTTTGATTCGTAGGTATAACCCATACATAACCCATAAAACGGTAGGTAAAGAGTTTCAGGGAGGGTTTCGGGTTTAGGGTGGCCTCCACGAGCCAGCTCCGGGACGTAACTGACCTTAAAGCCTAAGCAACTGGGGCGAACTGCAGGAGAGTTTAGGGTTTAGGGTTTAGGGTTTAGGGTTCAGGGTTCAGGGCTGAGGGTTCACCATACTCTTAAGATTGAACAAGAGGGGGCTAGGATTCAGGATTCAGCGTCTGAGAGTTTAGTGTCTGGCGTGCCAAGCTTCCGGGAGCCAAGCACACGGCAACGGCGCCTACCCAAAGAACCTGGCGGGCAGACCCTAAACCCTAAACCCTAAACCCTAAACCTTAGGGCTCTTTGCGAGCTCGTCAGGCTTTACGGGCGTGACCGAGACATGGTATGCACATGCGGATTTGGAGAATGGGGCCCGTAGAACTTCCAGGCCTATTCCAAATCACCAAGTATAGACATGCATACATATATATATATATATTATACAAATCTTCCTCCACAAGAGGATGCCGTTTTGAACCATTAACCTTGTTTTAGTACTTGGGGTCGCTGAATAATTCATGTCGGCATCGTTCTGAGACGTCCCGGCCGCTTGCGCGAAGCAACTGAACTGAGCTCCTAACAACCCGATGCCCTCCAATCCCTGAAGCCCTTTAGGGATTCGGGTGTCGGGCTGAGGGTTTCGGGTTTAGGGTTTAGGGTTTCGGGTTTAGGGTCTCGGGTTTAGGGTTTCGGGTTTCGGGTTTGCGGCTTCAGAAATTCCCCACCTGATCCGCCAAGTTCAGCGGCGCGCACAGCGCCTTGGGCATCAGATCCTGCGCGAGGCACCGCATCCGGCAGGCGTCCGAGAAGGAGAAGGCGGCGGGGCCTCCGAAAATTGCGCCCTGATGGGCTTTCCTGAACCCTAGACCCTAAACCGAAAACCCTAAACCCTAAACCCCAAACCCTAAACCCTAAACCTTGGGGATTCGACGGCAC